TCGTCAAAGTCACGCCTCTCTGTAACGCTAATGTCACCAGTGTGACTACGTGTGCATGAAAGTATGCATCGACTTCCCACGGTCAGTTCGCGGTTTTGACTCTTAGACCGGCTACCGCTGTGTGCCCTCGCGTGCCGCGCTTGGCGGAAAAAATGTCGTTATTCAATTATAGATAGATACGTCTACTTGAAGTCCATGACGGAGGCGGGGTACGCCTGCATGGGCAGGTCGCCACCAATCGCGCGCTCGAGCGTGGCGGCAACACTGGCTTCGTTCAAGGTGCCCGTGAGCACGCCGACGCGAACGGCCTTGGGCTTGCCTCGGACAACGAGGAGCGTCGGCGCTCGCGGGACCTGAAGCTTGGAGAGGACGCGGCCTTGGTCCTTTTCGTGTACATAGACCACGTGGAGACCTCTCGACGCCTTGAACTTGGCGGCCGTAGCCTTGACGAGGTCCTTCGTCGCTGCCGACGCCTTGGTCGGGAGCACGAAGATGGCGCAGAGCATGCTGGTTGCCTCGGCGTCCTTCCCGAGGTTGCAGAGCTTGCCTTGGTTGCCACCATGGAGCTCGTCGACGTCGCCGGCCGCGCGCTTGGCCCGCAGTCGAGCTGCATACTTTTCAAAGGCAAAGTTATAGACGGCAAACTCGTCGAGATCGCCGTCGTAGGGCGTGAAGTCGCCGTGGTAGATGTAGCCAAAGTTCGGGAAGGACGACCGGACGCCGTGGGTTTCGCAGAGCTCGGCGTGCTTGTCGCAGTCGACGGCGCCGACCTTGACGCGGCCGCGCAAATCCTTGGCAATCGACTCCATCACCGGCTTGAACTTGATGCATTTTTTGTCGGACGCGCGGTAAAACTGCACGAGCCACTCGTTCTTGGCGCGCTTGCCTGGAAATTTCTTGGGCGAGAGCCGCACAACGTCCGACTCTTTGGCGTACAGCGGCGGCGGCGGCCCTTGCTGCTGCTGGTGCCCAAAGCCGCCAAAGCCGTCCATGCCACTGTTGAACTGAAACTCGTGGGGCTGGCCGCGTCCACGCTGGCCGCCGCCGCCACCGCTGCCAAAAAACTGGTTGAACATCTCGAACGGGTCGCCGCGAAACTGAAAGCCGCCGCCTCCAGAACGACCGCCTTGTGGATGCTGTTGCTGCTGCTGCTGCGGTCCGTCGGCGCCGTACAAATCGTACTCTTCCTTCTTCTTTGGGTCGCTCAGCACCTCGTAGGCTTCCGAGATTTCAAGAAATTTGGCCTGCGCTGTCTCGCGCTCGGCCTCGTCGACCTTGTCGGGATGGTACTTGAGCGCGAGCGTGCGGTAGGCCTTCTTGAGCTGCCGGTCGTTGAAGTTCTTGGCGACGCCGAGGATCTTGTAGTAGTCCTTGCCCGCGACCGCGAGCGCGACCAGCACGCAGAGCATAAGCGTCGTCAAGCTGCGTCGTGCCATCCAAGATCGCCCGAAAATCCAAATTCGAAAATGGCCTGCCGGTCGCGGCGGGCGCTATCCGGATGCGGGTTTGTCGCACGTGGCATGCGCACACTCGTGTCCGGATAACGTGAGCCCAATGGCGTGGCGGATACGTGGCAGTCAACGGGCTCCGTTCTCTTGGCTTCAACGCGGCTTCGGCGAACGTTCGACACGTCACGACGCGTGGCATGCGTCATCGGGACGGCGAGACGCCAGCCCACGCGAGACACGCTTGGACAGTGCGTGGCTTGTGGACCGAACGCCACGGGCTGGGGCATGTTCTCGAAAAGTCTACCGTCGTCCGTTGTCACTGGAACAGTCAGGCATACATGTAGAGTGTCCTCACACGTCGAGCAATAGGGCTATGTCGACATTTGACTCTAGTCAAACACTCGACTAGAGTCGAACGCTCTGCCACCTGAGCTGGTTGGTAGGACGTTGGAGCGCCTTACATGTAGCAATTCGCCCGACAGCCTGCGATCAAGCCTCTATCTGTATGCACGGGACGTGCGTGCACTGTAGGCTTTTGTCAACTCCATTTACTTGCGCCACGGGGTTTGCACTACACTGTCGATAGCATCGGGTTTGTCTTGGATGGCACTGCACGGGTTTGTGAAACGGAACCATTCGCGCACCGGTTACATTTCTTAACACGACAACAGTGCGCCGATGCTTGTTTGGCCAGACAGTGACCACTGCGGTCAACTGCGCTCGCCTCGTCGTCACCGGTTGCGCGGCTTTTCCGGCTTTGCCTACGCTACCACTTGCATCGCGATCACCTTTGTCTTTGGCTACTGGACCCAGTCGTACCTCGAGGCTGACGCCTTTTGGCCCGGTTGGCAGTCGATGCACACTGCACTACCGCTTTCGGGCATAGTACGAGGGCGACTGCTACTAGACCCCAGTTGGCCGTCGTTGGACCTCACGGCACTCGCGTTGGCGCCAAGCGACGCGATGGGCACGCCGCCCGCGTACCCCCGGCGCCTCATGTACCAAGACTTGACGTCGCTGCACGCCGCCGTCGTCGGGCTCCGGGCGCTTCACACATCGCACCTCTCGACCATGGTGTCGGCGTACTGCTGGGCAGATCTCGACCGGCGCTGGGCGCTTGGCCACACGGCCGCACGCCAAATGCGCTGCGAGAGCCATTATGCCTCGAACGCTGCCGTCTACTTGGAAGCGATACTGCGCAACGTCGATGTGGCGACATGGAATGACGTGGCACGCTTCCAGGGCATGATCGGCGACCCTATCGCCTCGTCGTCAGCCGACGGACTCGCCTGGGTCGCATCCCTCGACGACGTTCCGCGGCGCTCGATCGACGACGAAGTCGGCGTGTGGCAACAGCATGGCTGCACGTCGTTCACATTGCAGTGGGCCAATCGACTGCAAATCGGGCTTCACGACACCGTGCTCTTGCGCAGCGCGCTCGGAATCGACCAGCCGCTCGTGTTGCATGCGCTACCATCGACAGCGCTTGGCATGGCGTGGGTCTCGTCGTACTTGACGTCGTGCCTCGACAACGCCTTTAGTGCAGCGTACAACCGCAGTCTCGTGCGCAACACGTCCAACTTTTTCGGCCACAAGGAGCCGTCGTTGATTGAAGAGTTCAACGTTGGAACGCCGTTGTCACCCATTTTCCAAGTTGTCCACAATGTCATTGGACCGCTGGGGGCGATTGATCTCTACTGGGTTCCCGTGCCGCCGCCGTTAATCGCAGCGATCGAGCTCTTCCGATTGCTCGTACGAACGTCGCCCGTCGCCGCGTCACTAACACTGCATCCGACTCCCCGACGCTGGGCGTCTCCCGCGCTGCGCTTTGTGAGCGGCAACCCCATGTGCATTCAAGGGACACCCGTGCCGTTAGTTATCGAGTCGTTCGGATTCGACGACGGTTGTGCGGGCGCGGCACCGCTCACGGTTGTCATTCACGGCCTGAGCGGTCTCTTTGGGCTGTGGCTGCTCCAGGATGCCGAGACCATCGACGAGATCTGCGCGCTTGTTCCAACAGACACCGCGTGCAAGACGTATCTTGCAGCGCTAATGCCAGTGCTTTCGTCGCTGCCGCCACCACCGCCGCTGACTGCGACGCTCGCGGCCGTCAACCTGACGCTACTTCAGTTTATCGACACGGCAAGTGTAAATACGACCAGCGCGGAGCTACAGCTGGAGGCGCAGACATTGCTCGAGCCATCGTGGGCGTTCTTTGGGTGGACTATGATATACGACTGGGCGCATCTGTCGCGCGAAGCCGTCTCGTTCCAAGGCGACGTGCGCACGATAAACGCGTTGTCGGCGGCATATGCCCCAGTTATCGCCCTTGAGGCGACAACGACGCTACCCACGTGGGTGCGTTTCCTTCGTATCGCCAACGTGCTCTTCAGCCTCGGTCTCGCGCTCGTCGGTGGCGTGGCCTTGGCGTTTCTTTGCTGTCAACCGCACGCGGCGCGATGGCACCTCTTTCCGCGCATTGCGACCGGCGTCTGGTTCAATAGAGGTCTCTTGAGTCTCCGGAGCCTCACGGCCGTCGTGTGTCTCTCGACCGCACCCATCTTTCCAGTCGCCGATGCACCAACCCAGTCAACGCGGCTCGTATTTGAGCCCCGGAATCTCGCCACGTCCTGCGTTTTGGCCATCGAGGCGACGTGGGTGCTCTACAGCGTACACGACGTTATGCACCCTGTCTGCGGCCGCCACACCAACACTCGTGCCGCGATAGCCTGTGCGATTGCATTTTTGGCAGTTGCGTGCCTCGATGTGATCTCGCCCGTCCAAGTGGCCGCGTCGCTAAACCGGGTGTGCTCATCTGTGGACATGGACACGATGCTCTACTGCACCAGCGGCGTCATCACCATCGGACACATGTCGCGCTGCCTTGTACTCGGCCTCATATTGGTGCTCTCGGTGTGTCTCGCGCATCTCGTGCCGCTACCAACGACGATCAAACCGAGTCATACACCCAGCTTGGCGCTGCCGCTGGCGCTCGTGTCCGACGTGCAAGATCATAGCGACCGCAAAGTCGTGTCGCTGGACCGCGCGACGGCCGCGATGAGCGGCATCTTTCAGCTGCGCCGCCGCACAATCTTTGATTCCAAGCTCTGGCGACCGATCCCGTCGCCGGCGCTCGATACGTTCGTGTCGCTGCCCGACTGCGGCACCGCGCCGCTGCGAGGACCGACGTTGCAGCCAAAAATGTCCCGCTGCGCGCGCTTCGAGCAAGTGAGCGTTGCACTCGGTGGCCTTGGCTTCTTGGTTACGTCGCTCCTAAGTAACGTGCTGTACGCTCAGAAAGCCTCCTCGTACTTGGCCAACGACTATGGCTGGGCTGGGTTCAACACGACGGGCGCCCGGGTGTTTGTGGCCAACGTGGTCAACGAAGCTCTGCTCTCGATGCGCGCGTGCAGCGACTTTGCGCTCGACTCACCAAGCATCGGCACGATCAATCAACGCTACAATGGCTCGGCGACCGACATCACGTGGGCCGCGTCCATGGCCCGACGCCAGTTGTACCAACCCGAGACGTCGCTCGTCGACATCATTTCGGGGCTTCGCGCCATGAGTCCGTGCAACTTACCGGCAATGTTTACGCAGTACTGCTACCTCGACTTTGGCCAGACGTGGGAGATGGCGTCAACGACCAAGCGGCAAGCACGCTGTGTTCTGCAGCGTTCGAATGGCGCACTCTTTCTCGAAAGTGCCTTGCGCAACCTGAACGACTGGGGCGTCTGGGAGCGCTGTTGGGGCGACGCCTTTGCGATTGGGATTACGGCTCCGCTCACCACGACGTTGGACGGTCAAGCATGGCTACAGCAGGTGCGATCAGCTTACGCTTTTTCGGTCGACGACGAAGCCGCGTACTGGCAACGCCACGGCATCGAATCGTTTGTGCTGCAGTGGCAAAACTTCAAGACCCTTGGTATGGTGGACACGATGGTGGTAACGTCCGCGCTCGGGCTCTCATCGTCTCTGTATCTCAGTACGTCGCGCAGCAAGCTGCATTGGCAGCAGCAGACCTCCGCCAAGATGTACTGGTCGTTTGCGAGCGACCTCTGGGCAATCACGTCCAATACCACAGCGGTTCGTGGTCGTACCTTGCTGCGGCACAGCGCGGACTTTGCCTTTTCAAATGTGACGAGCGAATCACTCTTGCAGTCGAACATGACGCTCCCAACGCCGCTGACGCAAGGCTTGGCAATCGTTCGAGACGCCATCAGTCCTTTCAACGCCGTCGACATGATCTATGTACCATGCCCAGCTGCCTTGCAGCGCGTGTACCGTGACGCCACGACGTCATTGGCATCCGTGCTCGTGACCAACGAGGCGGCCCAAGCTGCGTTTGTGCCCTTATTGACCGCCGAGTTCACGGACATGCTGCCGATTCCATCCAGTGCACTTGCGTCGACGTCAAGAACTGTCGGCGGCAACCTACTCTGTGGCGACGACTTCCCGCCGTACCTGCTCTCCTTGGGCTTTGGCTGTTTCTTTGGCCCGGACAACATGTGCCACGCCTATTTCAGCGAGTACATTTCGCTCGACATGACCCATACCCTCGTGGCCCTTCTGGCGACGCAAGACCCAACGCTGGACGGAGACGCTATTTGCTATAACGACGCTCTCGCCCACCCCGATTGCCCGACCCTCTATACATCGGCGTCGTTGTTTCTAGCTACGTTTGTGCCAAGCTTGGATCCGCCCTCGGACGCCGCCTTGGACGCTGTTCAAGCACTGGACGTGGAGCTGGTGCAATTCGTTGCCGTCGATGAGAATCGATCCTTGCCGCTGCAATTGTACCGCCACCCGCTCGTTCTACCCTCCGATCGACCGTGGCGCTTTTATACGTGGGTCTACCTCGTGCAGTGGGCCGCGGGCGCCCGCGACGTCGTGTCGTTTCAAGGCGACAACGGACGCATCACGACACTCTCAACGCAGTCCCGGCCGCTGACGATGTCGCCGGACGTGAACGACATTCCCAACTCGGTCTCGCGCTTCTTCCTCCTCGCGGTACAGTACGTGACGATGGTGCTCATCAGCGTTGCGCTTATCGCGACGCTCGTGGCGCTACGCCACTTCCCGATCACGAACGGCCTCAACCTCATGGAGCTCAACCGCGTCGTGGGCCACGTTTGGATTGGGCGCTCGTGGCTGCTCGCCCGCAGCATCTCGGCGCAGTGGCTCCTGCATACGAGCACACTCCGCCTCGACCAAGTCGGCATCGGTACGCGCTTTGTCTCGCCGCCGCTCGACTGGTTCACGACCATGCTCGCCGGCGGCGAAAGCACATGGTTTGTCTACATCCTCAACGACCTCTTGAGCTGCGTGTCTCGGCAATGGACCTTTGCGTATGCGTTCAAGAGCGCGCTGGTCGCGTGGAGCGCCACGTCATTGTGGGTCACGCTTGTGCCGGCCACGTACACGGCGACTGTACACCGGCAGTGTACATTGGTCGAGATGGACCTCGCGTTGACGTGTGTGAGTGCGCACGTGCAGATTGGTGACGCCACGCGCGTCGGCGTCGGGTTTGCTCTCGGCCTTGCCGCCGTGCTCCTCTGCCTTGGCATCGAGCGCTACCGCCTCCGCGATTTACCGCCGCTGACTGTGACGTCGACGACGCTCCTCAACGCAACGAGTTTGCACATGCTCATGACGACGCCCGACGGCCTCCTGGATCCTGCGTCCGGCATTTTGGCCGGTCTCTTTACCGTTCGTGTCGGTGACACGCTGCACATCTTTGACGTCAAGTGCTGGCGCCATGTGGTGGTCACAGTCGACAGCCTGGCGCCGGCGCTCATTCCGCTGCGTGACGTCTGATCGTCACGTGTCGCGGTGACGTGGCAGTGCAAGCGACGTCCCTGCGTTGCTTCTTTGGCACGGTCCGAGGACCAGATGCATAAGCTGTGTATTCCCAAGTAGTGTCGAGACAACGCTGCATGCTTAATCGAGGCAGCCTGTTATCGACTTAGAATCTGCAGATGCGTGGTCACAAACGCATGGACGCGGTTGAGCTCGGCGGTGTCGACCGTGTGGCCCAGCGCCGGGTACGCAACGAAGTCGCAGGCAATGCCGTGCGCGTGCAGGAGCTCGTTCGACTGCTTGCCGAACGTCAACGGCACGAGCGTGTCCTTCGCGCCATGACACTGTAGGCCAGGCGTATTGGGCGACCGGGCGTGGAACGACGACGCCATCGGGAGATACCCGCTCAGGAAGACGCCGCATGCCAACGGGAACGTCAAGAGGCGGTAGCACGTGTGCATGGCGACGGCGGCGCCTTGGCTAAAGCCGACGACCGCGATCTTACTCGGCGGAACGCCCCGCGCGATCTCTGCCTGAATGAGCTTGGCGAGCATGTTGGCTGCGCGCTGGATGCCGACTTCGTCCTCGCGGTCCTATGCGTACGTCGCAGGTTGGCCGACGATGACCGGGTGGTAGGTACCTGTGGGCGAAGGCCGAGGATGTCGTACCACGCCGGCATCTGCATGCCGCCATTGAGCGTCACGCGTCGCGTCGGCGCAGTCGGGAAGATGTACTTGACCCCGCCGAGCGGGCCCAGCGTGGTGACGTGGCGATGCCACGACTGCCCCGTGTCGCCGAGCCCGTGGAGCCAGATGACCGTGGCGACGTGGTCGCCTTGGGGCGCGATGACGACCCGGCGGTCCCAGTCGTCGTCGTCAATCGGCGCTTGGTCGTACCCGAAGGCGGTGCAGACGTTGCCCATCGTGGTGCTTGCCGCGGAGCGCAATGTTTCGGCGCAATTTATACCCTCGTGACATAAGTACGCACCCCACCCGGGTCCCTTGTAATTGCAGCTCGGCACCATCTGGTCGTGCGTTTCTTGAAGCCACCGTTTTCATGGGCCCGGGCCGGGTCCCTCCAAACACACGACCGACGCACCCTATCACTTTCACCGCGGCTGTCTCCTGTCAGCCGCGCCATAGCCACGACGTTGACGTAGAGTCGAGGGCGCATCATGTACTGCGATAGAGAATCCTACCATGACTACTGTGCAAGGCTACTCTAGCGTTGTCCCAGACGTTGAAGCTGCCGCATTGCGCGCGCCCATTCGACAGGCGATTGTCGACCCATCACGCATCTTCTTCGACGCTTCTTCCGAGCCCCGTCGTCCCATCCGACGCCTCCATTTTCGCTGCATTTCCATCGAAGCAAGAACGACTGGTGGCCCAAGTTTCGATTTCGAGGGTAGAGGGCAAAAGAAATGATGGGCCCAACACTCCGCGCCAAGGCCGCGCCGCTCCGCGTTGGGTGGCTTTCTCCATCTATCTTTACCCACGTGGTACAACCGCAAGCCCTATTTATACCTCGTCGTTTAAACGCCTCTGCGCGTTGATTGGTGAAAAGGCCGCGCCATTTTGGGCATCACGCCGTTTGATTGGACCATTTGGATCGGTTTCAAAATTTAAATCGGCGCGATGTATTTTTATTGTTTCATAAAAAAATACTCGACAAGATCGCGGGGGTGCTCATTGGCTGGGACGACACCCCCTTCTCTTTGTCCCGATGCATACAAAAACCAAGTGTACTTGGGCAAAGGGAGGGGCCATCGAGGTAGGGTTGGGAGAAGTGGAAGGTTTCGTGCCGGGGCACAGGGCTCGGGGAATGGCTGGGACTCGTCTGGAGCGCTCATTTTCAAAAGGGAAAGAAAGCAGCGACAGCAGGTACATGCATCGACGACCTCATCCACCTCCGGAAGCATGGCGGCTCATGCAACTCTTCCTCGTAGGTTGACATGCGGGAGTTGGTTCACATTCAGGGTGGTCAGTGCGGTAACCAGATCGGTGCCAAGTTCTGGGAGGTCATCTCGGACGAGCATGGCGTCGACCCGACGGGTTCGTACCACGGCGACTCGGACCTCCAGCTCGAGCGCATTAACGTCTACTACAACGAAGCCACCGGCGGCCGCTACGTGCCCCGCGCCATCTTGATGGACTTGGAGCCGGGTACCATGGACTCGGTCCGCGCCGGCCCGTACGGCCAGCTCTTCCGCCCCGACAACTTTGTCTTCGGCCAGACGGGCGCTGGTAACAACTGGGCCAAGGGCCACTACACGGAGGGCGCCGAGCTCATTGACTCGGTCCTCGACGTTGTCCGCAAGGAAGCTGAGAGCTGCGACTGCCTCCAGGGTTTCCAGATCACGCACTCGCTCGGTGGTGGTACCGGTTCGGGTATGGGTACGCTCTTGATCTCCAAGATCCGCGAAGAGTACCCCGATCGTATCATGTGCACGTACTCGGTCTGCCCGTCGCCCAAGGTCTCGGACACGGTCGTTGAGCCGTACAACGCCACGCTCTCGGTCCACCAGCTCGTCGAAAACGCCGATGAAGTCATGTGTCTCGATAACGAGGCCCTCTACGATATCTGCTTCCGCACGCTCAAGCTCACGACGCCCACGTACGGCGACTTGAACCACTTGGTCTGCGCCGCCATGTCGGGTATCACCACGTGCCTCCGCTTCCCCGGTCAGTTGAACTCGGATCTTCGCAAGCTCGCGGTCAACTTGATCCCGTTCCCGCGTCTCCACTTCTTCATGATTGGTTTCGCGCCCTTGACGTCGCGTGGCTCGCAGCAGTACCGCGCGCTCACGGTGCCCGAGCTTACACAGCAGCAGTTCGATGCCAAGAACATGATGTGCGCCGCCGATCCTCGTCACGGCCGCTACCTCACGGCTGCCTGCATGTTCCGTGGCCGCATGTCCACGAAGGAAGTCGATGAGCAGATGCTCAACGTCCAGAACAAGAACTCGTCGTACTTCGTCGAGTGGATCCCGAACAACATCAAGGCCAGCGTGTGCGACATCCCGCCCAAGGGCCTCAAGATGTCGACGACGTTCATTGGTAACTCGACGGCGATCCAGGAGATGTTCAAGCGCGTCTCGGAGCAGTTCACGGCCATGTTCCGGCGGAAGGCTTTCTTGCACTGGTACACGGGCGAAGGCATGGACGAGATGGAGTTCACGGAGGCCGAGTCCAACATGAACGATCTTGTCTCGGAGTACCAGCAGTACCAGGACGCGACGGCCGAGGAAGAAGGCGAGTTCGACGAAGACGAAGAGATGGACGAAATGATGTAGATGAAATCAACGAGGTTTCTCTCACTGCATTGGGTCTCGTATATTTACAAGTACAATACACTGCGCGAAGGGGCCTCGTCCTTTGGCTTTGTTTTTGTCAGCCTTCTGTCTCGTCAATATGGAGCCCAAGGCGCCCCCACGCGTCCCTTGCGCATGGCTCTACAGGAGCACCCAATGGCCTCATGGGCTGGCCACACGGACGAAGGATCTGTGGCCGGCTAGCTTCCATGTGGACAGGCGGCTGGAGGTCGATGATCGAGTGTATCACACGTCCGCTCCTGGGTGCATGTCGACGCATGAGATGGAAGCGCAGCGTGATGGACTGCGAACGGTCGCGGCTTCTTAGTCGGTTGTGGCATTCCTGCCGTTAGTCGTTTAGTCGAGGAATCTTCTGTGGGAATCTTCCAGCCGAAGTGATTGTGGGCGGGTTTCATCCAAGCCGCCCGAGCGGACAACTCGGCAGTTTGCCCACTCGATGGCAAAAAGAGCATGCGGACCTTGGTAGGACGACGCGCGTGGCACCAGTGGGGGCTCCGGCGCCATCTGCACCACTTCCAGGCGCCTCGGCTCTCGGACTTGGTCCTCATCCGCCACGGCGAGAGCGAAGGCAACGTGGCCCGCGAGCGCTCGATCAAGGGCGACCACAGCCTCTTTAGCGGCGAGTTCAAGCACCGCCATAGCTCCAACTGGCGACTCACGGACCGTGGCCGCGAGCAGGCCGAGGCCGCCGGCGAGTGGCTGCGCAAGAACGACATGGTCTATTTTGACCGATACCTCGTGTCCGAGTACCTCCGCGCGATGGAGACGGCCGCGCGCCTCAACCTGCCGGACGCCCAGTGGTACGCCGAGATGCTCCTGCGCGAGCGCGATTGGGGCCAAATGGACCTCATGTCGGAGGACGAGCGCTTCAAGAACATGTACGACGAGCTCGTGCGGCGCGACCTCGACCGCTTCTACTACGCGCCGCCGGGCGGCGAGTCGATGGCGGCCGTCGCGCAGCGCGTCGACCGCATGCTCTGCGTCTTGCACCGCGAGCTCCCGGGCAAGAAGGCGGTCGTTGTCTGCCACAGCGAGGTCATGTGGGCGCTCCGGACGCGCCTCGAGCGCATGTCACAAGAGACGTTTCGCGAGCTCCAGATGAGCGGGCGCATGGTCGACCAGATCCACAACGCGCACATTCTGCACTACACGCGGACCGACCCGGGCACGGGCAAGGTCGCGCCCTTCTTCACGCACATGCGGTCGGTGTGCCCCTGGAACGAGAAGCTCAGTCCGAAAGGCTGGATCAAGATCAACCGACCGGTGTACGACAACGAGATGATGCTTGCAATCGCCGAGCGCGTGCCCCGTATGATCGTCTCGGAGGAGTACCTCCAGCAGACGTACCGCCCGGACAAGAAGCGGCTCTACTGCGACGACGCCGAGTCGCCCAACAAGCACACGTTCTGCGCCGAGACAGACCCGAACATTTTGCACCCGGTCCTCGCCGTGCCATTGCCCAAGGTCACGCTCCAGAACGTCGTTGTCGTCAACAAGATGACGCGGTACCAGCACGAAGAGTCGCTGTACGGCAACTCGGGGTTGGTGCTCGGCTCAGCACGCAACGTCTCATGATGGGCGCATAGGGAAGCGCTGAAGAAGCAAATGTCGATGCGAGGCTTTGTCTACGACCGCCTCAAGGCCAGCCACGACCACCACATTGACGCGATCGACGACATCACGTCCACGTACTGCTCTCCCTTATGCAACCCTTTGGTCTATAGTCATTTCGATGCTGTAGGTTCAAAGAGTACGACATCAACTGCACGATTGTCAACGCCCACGAGCTCACGCATGACGCGTACGACGGCGCCGACATGATCTTCTCGGCGGGCGGCGACGGCACGTTTCTGAAAGCAGCGAGCTTTGTCAACAAGCCGATCCCTGTCGCGGGCCTCAACACGGACTCGGCGCGCAGCGAAGGCAACCTCTGCGCGTACTCGATCGACGCGTCGTGCCACCGCTTTAGCATTGGTCTCGACCGGCTCCTGACGGGCGACTTTCGCTGGCGACACCGGCAGCGCATCCGCGTCGGCATGGTCAACCAAGAAGGCTTCAAGTACGAGCTCCCGCGGTATGCGCTCAACGAGGTACATGGTTTGCGCGCAGGTCAAGACGACGACGTATGCATGTGTAGGTCTTTATTGCCGAGAGCGATGCGTCCCGGCCGTCCCACTACAACATTGGCATTGACCAGCAGCAGCGCGAATCGCACCGAAGCAGCGGCATCATCGTGTGCACTGGGACGGGCTCGAGCGCGTGGCACTACTCGGCGGTACGTCGGGCCGATGACGTGGCAGCGCCTCATGCGCGGACGCTATTCTAGTCGCAAATCCACCGCGAGCAGATCTCTAGCGTCCTCCACGCGATGGACTTTCATACGTACACGAACGAGACCGTGACCGAGATCACAGAAATGTACTTGCGACGCCGACGCCGTAGCTCATGGGGTTGTAGGCTCAACAAGCAGAACATGTTTGCGGAAGACTCGGTCGACATGGGCTATGTCGTGCGCGAGCCCATTATCAACGCCACGTTTGGCGACATTCGCTTCCGGCGCGGGAAGGCGCGCCGCGTCTCGATGCGGTCGCTCGGGTGGGATATGAAGGTCAACCTCGACGGCCTCTACTCGGTGCCGCTCAACTATGGCGTCCAAGCCGTCATGAAGATCTGCACCGAGCCGCAGTACGTGCTGCGAACTGTCGACTTTAGTCGGTCGACGGATGCGGCCTTGGACAAGGATTTCCCCTAACATGGTGTTGATACAAGCGTCTGTACATGTGTACATGTGCGTCGACGCACATCGCGTGCACGACGAGGAGCTGCTTCTGCATGGTCCCGTTGTTGTAGCATGCGAAGCAAACCCATCCAATTCCATTGCATCGTACGCGTACCTGCGACAGCAGCAGCCGGCTTGTCGTTCGTACTCGCTGGCGATCATTCGTTGGGCGCAATTGCGCCGACTGACGCCAGGCCCCGCCCTTGGGTGCGCAGCTGGCGCCTCACCCAACGGCCCGCGCAACGGCCATGGCCCATCGAGGCCGCGATAGCGCAGTTGCTACGCCGGTCGGCAGCGCTTCTCGCCAGCGCCATCTCGGCGAGCCCGTCGCGGCCCGGCGCGACCGCAGCTGCGGCTCTGATCCGTGCAGCTGCCCGCGACAAATTTAGCGCATACAATCGCCAAGTGCCAAAAAAACGGCCGAATTATATCCAATTGGGGCGCTCGGCCTTTACCTCATTTCGGAACCCCATCTTCCGAGCCGGCGTTGGTAATGAGCAAGCAGCGCAGCATGAAGCGGGCGGCCCAAGACGTCCCCGCGCACCCGATGCTCAAGAAGCGCAAGGCCGGCCTCGAGACGCCGCCGCTGCATGAGATACCACCGACGCCGCAGGGCCCGGCGGCCATGATGCCACCAACGCCAGCGTACGGCCAAGCCGAGGCCGCCGAGACGTCGCGCGCCGCGCCGGCGCCGCCCGTCGACATGAACCCTGTGACGCAGCGCAACTTTCGCGGCTGGCAAGTCGGATCGCGCTACCGCCTCGTGCGCCTTCTCGGCAAAGGCTCGTATGGCCAGGTGCGTCGCCGTCGTCGTCGTTGCATTGTGTGGTCATACGGGCCGTAGGTGGCCGAGGCCTATGACGAACTCAAGAACAAGCGCGTCGCTATCAAGAAGATCATCAATGTCTTTGACCAAGAGGTCGACTGCAAGCGCCTGTACCGCGAGATTTACATCTTGCGCCACCTCCGGTAGTCTCTGCTGCATCCTTCTTCGTCGCATCCTCACGTCCGCGCCTGTCTTGCAGACATTCGGAGGTGATTACGCTTCTCGATGTGCTCGAGCCGCCCAACCTCGAGACGTTCAAGGACCTTTACCTCGTCTTTGAGTTTGTCGACACCGACCTCCACAAGCTCATCATGAGTCCGCAGTACCTCACGACGCGCCATATCCAGCTCTTCTTGTACCAGCTGCTGTGCGGACTCAAGTACGTCCACAGCGCCAACGTCATCCACCGCGACATGAAGCCCGCCAACATCCTCCTCAACGAAGACTGCACGCTCAAGGTCGCCCGCGCCTCGAACAAACTAAGAGCTTAGTTCTGCATTAGATCTGCGACTTTGGCCTTGCACGTGTCGTCGACGCGGCCATCTACAAGGACCAAGGCGAGCCCGTCTCGCCGCAGTACCACCAGCGCGTCCGGTCGCCGACCGATGGCGCTACGCCCAAGGTCTTGTTTCCACTTTCAATCTTTGTAGCTCAATTTGGCTGTTTTAGTTTCAGCGCCAGCTCACAAAGCACGTTGTGACGCGCTGGTACCGCGCGCCCGAGCTCATTCTGCTCCAGGACTATGGCTACGCGGTGGACCTCTGGAGCGTCGGGTGCATCTTTGCCGAGCTCTTGTCGATGCAAGCCGAGAGCTACCCGCAGTACCAGGTACTCTGCCCTGTCCCATCGATCCTACAATGGAATGCGTCGATAGTCGCGGACGCCGATCTTTCCGGGCCGGTCGTGCTTTCCGCTGAGCGCCGACCGACCGACGACGTACTCGGACAAGCTCGACCAGCTCAACGTGATCTTTGGCGTCATCGGTACACCCAAAGAAGAGGACATTGGCAACCTCGGCGAAGTCAAGCAGTACCTCCGGAAACTCAACAAGAAGGAGCCCCGCGATTTGAAGGAGCTCTACCCTGGCGCGCCGCCAGAGGCGCTCGACCTCCTCAAGCAATTTCTGACCTTCAACCCCGACACGCGCATTAGCGTACGTGTGTGTTTCTATCAATGTATCGGGTGATGGACCAATGGAAATAGGTGGAAGCGGCGCTCCAGCACCCGTTCTTGAACGAGGTGCGGTCACTGCGGAAGGAAGCGGTGGAGCTGCAGCCGCTCGACATGGGCTTTGAGAACGTGCCGCTGGACCGCGCGCAACTCAAAGGTACGAGACAGTATTCGTCTAATGGGTCTGAGATGCTTGTTGCAGCGCGCATTTACGAAGAAATTCAGTGCTTCAAAGCGCTCAACGCCGAGGCCGATGCGCAGGCCGAACGCGCCGCCGAGAGCAGCGTCATGAACAAGGTGGTGCCGATGCCACAAGACCTGTCCGCCGCAGGTACGACGACGACGACGTAAGCGCATTTAGAAGAGGAGCGCGTCTGTATGTATAATTCGATTAACTAGCAAGTGGTGTACCAATACTAAGTAGGACGAGCGACGGTCTAGAATGGACATACCTTGTCCATGACTCAGTGCACGCAGGAAGCTTGAGCGACGAGCCACATCGCAGCCCACCGAGGTCGCACGCACGAGGTGCGTCGCAGTCACAATGAGCGTCGACAGTGAATGGACGTTCTTGTGTACACATGGAAAATGGACTTTTTTTTGTCATCCAAAAAACAAAATATTTGCGCAGTGTCGACGCTGGGGTTAGGCGTGGACCACAAGCGCCGACCAATAGTCCACTTCGGCTTGGCTCAAATGCTCGTCAGGCGACGCGACCGTCGTCGACAGCGACACAAGATCGGCTGGCGCCGTCGCAGCCTGTGCCGGCAACCGCATCGCAATTTCATCCATCGAAGCAAAGCTGCGGGCGACGTAGTCCGAGCCGATGGGCGCTGGCGCGATGTTGTTCCAGTTGAGGTCCATGGCTTCAATTTGTGCGTATACGTCCAAGACCGTGTCGTCCGGCGTCGTGGAGAGTGCCTTCGCCGTCTTTCTCAGGACGGGACGACCGCTGGGCTTGACGCTGCACTTGATCGCGAGTCCTTTCTCGCCCATCCGCTGCCACCGGCTCTGGCATTGTCTATAACTAATGAAGCATCGACATATGAGTCCTCGTCATGCTGTCGTATGCGGCGTACTTGCGCGTCCCGACGATCGTGGCGATCTTGGGCCACTTGGTGGTGACGCTCAAAGCGTAGCAGAGTCGGGCGTCTTCGTCCCGACTCCAAATGCGCTTGTTCGTGTTGCCAGTGATAGTTAACCATTTCTGGCGGCAACTGGCAGCGCTGCGGCCGGGAAAGCCTGTCGCGATCAGCTTCCACGTCGTGCCGTCGGGGTCGAGACGCTTGAGGGCCGCACGCTACAGTCGACTGTGAGGCGGCTTGCACATGCCTCGGTGCAAATACAAACCTCAGCAGCCGTCCACTGGTTCTGGCTCATTGTTGTTGTCGGATGTCAATTGCAAAGTGAACCTTTCATTCAAGCGCCCAGAATCGCCACGAATCGCGCCACCACTTGCGCCATATGTATCAAGTTGATACAAAGTTGAATTGCTGATCGCGGCAAGTGGCAAAACAACCTGATCCAACCAGTGTCTTGTGCGAAGGTGCAGTTGCGAGATTTCTGTCCAATGAGACCGCTCGGCGTTTCTGCTCGGGTGGCAATCCGGGTTTGATGATCAGCACCTTATGGCTTTATGCATCCAATGATCAACAATGAAAACATATGACCTTATTTGATACATCGGTACTTCAACAAACCAGCGTGCTGGCCTGCGTCGAGCGATGCCATTAGTCGAGCGACTTGATGTATTGATGACGAAACATGATAAGATCACTTTGGGAATGTTTCGAGTCGGTGAAAAGACACGCAGTGCTGTTGTCCAAGTGAGCCTGCAAAATTCAAACTGCAATTGGCTGCCGCCGCCATCGACCCCTCCAAATGCTGGGTCGCTTGGACGTACTCGGCATTGCGAGATCTCGCGGCAAGTACATACGCTGCAAAGCCGTCCGCGAGCCCTTGCAAGGGACACAACATAGCTCGCTAGCCGGTTTTCTCACACTAAATAGAGATGATGTAGAACACTATCCATACCCAGTCGGAAACGATAGCAAGACAATAAAGTCGAAAATAGTGTGCCTCCTGTGGTATCTTGAAAAGTCGCGATGGCCCCCAAGACGTTGGCGCGGAATGAAGCGCTCCTCGATGAGATGACGAGCTACTCGCTGGGCAACTACGTCAAAGACATGATGGCGATTCTCATGGAGCGTCTCATCGTGGACCTGCCCAACGACCCGCTCAACTACCTCATCGACCTCGTCCAGAACGACCCACGCATCATCGCGCTCGACGAGGAGGCGCGCTACAGCCGCATGGACTTGCGCTCGATCAAGACCAAGCAAACGCTTCTCAAAGCCATCTACGACGACCTTAGGGTCTACGAGAAAGCGCCGTTTGTGTCGGCTGTCGTCGCCTCCAAGCTCCTGCGCCAGCACTTTCCGCGCCACGCCAACGACATTGTGAACGCTGTCGTGCAGACCGAGAAGGCGCTACCACCCAAGGTGACCTTGCGCGACTTTAACACTGTCGCCCTGGCCGTCCTCGCACGTTCGTTGCATCTGCGCCCTCTCGTAGTACGCGGCTCATTGTGCTTTGCTGATAGGGCCGGCGAGTACCTAGTGTTTCTTGCAGCTAGGTATACGAGCAACGAGACGACAATATTGTGCATCAACTATTTCGTGCTCGGAAAACGAGAATAAAGAGAGTGGTGCGATCATAGTTGAATACAAACACAGCGCTCGCCATGCTAATTATCTTTGCCGCAAAAAGAACAGACAATGCGCCACCAGGAGCGAGATTTAAGAAAACTTGGAATGCTGTACACTGCCTTGATTGAAATAAACACGTTCAAAACCACTCTTAATTTTACGTCGGCACTTCGATACCAGGCTGCCGCAGTGTTTTTAAAGCATATATTTTGTACCACCAGACTGATGGGATGCCTAGTCTTACTGAACGAACGCCCCGCCTTTTCTATCTTAACAGCGCCATGCACTAATACAACAGTATGGTGTAAAGGTCATGGGCACAACTTTGAATCGCCTAATTTATGGAGCTCAAGATATTTTGGCGAAGCAAACAGTGAAAAATTACCTCTAGTGTGCACTTGTGCAGTTGCTACTTGCGGCCGTGTAGAATCTTGCGGCCAATCTAGCGCCGCGTATTTGAAATGATGGGAATCGCATGGACAGCGAGTACCTCGTCCTTGTCGCGGTCGTGAAATGCATTTTCGAGGTTGAGGTCCGTGGCAGGAACGAGGCCGTCGAGATGTTGGACACGCTTCTTGTACAATTCGCTGCCTTCGTCTTTGGTCATGACAGCCTCGCGCAGCTGCAAGTAGCCATCGTGGCGCACCTAGATCACCGCCCATTGACATATACATTGAAGAGTCGACCAGAGCGCACCGGGACGTTGATACCGTCGAGCACTTCGCCAGTCACCGAGTCCTTGACGACGTAGTTGGACGGTCGGTTGCCGTTGAGGCGCACGTTTATGAGCTGCGGCAGCATGAGCACACAGTGCGGCACGCTCCCGAGCCGGTTCATATCGAGTCCGAGCCGCTGGAGCCGGCTCAAGTACATCATTTCAGGTGGCAAGTCGGGTCCGAGGCGGTTGTAGTCCAGATTGAGCTCTAGGAGCCACGAGAGGCGGCGGATGCGCGGCGGCAGCTCCGAGAGTTCGTTGTGGCTCAAACTCAAATGCTGGAGGCGACTGCACTGCGTGAGCGGCAGCGGAAAGGTCCGGAACCGGTTGTAGTCGAGCGTCACGGTTGCTAGCTTTTTGCAGCGACCGAGCGACTCGGGGACACACGTGAGCTGGTTGCGCTCGGCATAGAGCGCTTCGAGATGCGGGAGGGAGCCAATCTCAGTCGGCAGCGATGTGAGCGCGTTCCCGCCAAGACCGAGCACGCGCAGCTGCTGGAAGAGGGCCACTTCGGGCGACAAGAGCGAGAGCGAGTTGTTGGTCAGGTACAGTCGCCGCAGATGCGTCTTTGCCCACGAGAGTTTGGACGCTGTCGCAAACAGCTCTTTTGGCACAAGGTCGAGCTGGAGACTCGCGTGGCCAGACACGAGGCTCGACGCGAGCGGCCCGCTCAAGTCGACGGTGCCCGTCGCTGTCGCCTTTTTGAGCCGCTTCTCGAGCGCCTCGCGCACCCAGCGACGATGCCCGGACGCGATATCGACCTCGCCCTTGGCGCTGTCGAACGTAATCCCATCGGTCATGGAAGGAAACGGTTGACAATTCCGGAAAGTTTGCAGAAAAGCCATCGCGATGTTCCTGATGGCTTCGTTCTTTTGTGGCCAAAACGATATTTAGTCTATCTACACTCTATAGACTTTTGCTATAGTTGAGATTTTCTACGTGGACGTCGGCGTCCTAGCACTGCTCATGACTGACTACAAGTCACTGTCGGCGGCGTTGGATCTTTCGCTCGTCTCCTGCATTGCCATTGGCGCGTGAGCGCGAGATCCTGCGTTTCATTGGCTACTTGGATGTGGCACATGCCACCTACGAGCTATTTGCATTCGGCACGCGGGATCCAAACTTGAGCGAACCAGCGAGCGACCGATGGGCGTCCCCTGCCAGCGTCGAGCACCGAGCCTTTGCGCCAGTCGCGCCGCTCGGTCATGGCCTTGGCACCAACGCATTGCGATTGTCCAGCACCGATGCGCTTGCCTGCGACCGGCGCCGACTCGGCGGAGCGACAGGGCTCGGCGCTTTTACCCGTCGCCTTTACCCGTGGTTTCTACAGCTTTGGCGCCGGCGCTACACAAGCTTATTTGCGAATTCGCCCCTCGGACTCGAACCCATCGATCGCATGCTTCCGCTCCGCTGCTCTGCCCTCGGCATCTCGCTCGCGCTGGTTGCCGGCCATGGCATCGTGTCCAACCCCGCGGCCGAGTTCTCGCCCAACGTCATGCGTACGACGTACGTGGCGACGATCCAAGCCAACCTGCCCGGCAAGTTTGACGGCTCGCCGCAAGAGAATGTCGCGGCCTTTACAAGTGCCTTCAAGGTGCAGTCCCAGTTCAAGACGCTCCGCGATATGCTCGAGCCCCAAGGGCCGGCCTGCGGCAACTCGCTTCCGAACGCCTCCAAGAAGACGATCCCGTCCGATGGCGCCATGACGTGGCGGAACCCCGACACGGGCGAAGGCTTCATCTCGAGCCACACGGTAGACAAACCATGGTGATTTGAGGCTCATCTTGCATGCATAGGGTCCGTGCGAGGTATGGCTGGACGACAAGCGCGTGTTCCAGAACGACGACTGCCCGACGAACTTTCCGCAAAAGCCCGCGGCCCACCTGCCGGTCGACTACTCGAGCTGCGCGGGTGACGGCTGCATGCTTCGCTTCTACTGGCTCGCGCTGCACCAGCCCCAGTGGCAAGTGTACAGTACGTTCTCTCTTCCTTCCTTGCGTACTGGTCAGCCCAACGACCTTTCTGCGATAGAAAACTGCGTGCCACTGCAAGGCAACGGCCAAGCCGTCAAGGCCATCAAGGCCGACAAGCCATCTCCGACCATGGCGCCGGCGCCTGGCTGCAGCCTCTCGAACGGACAGTACAAGGCGTAGGCGACGATAGGATACGATCTCGCGTTTCCTTTGTATCGAAAGCTCATCAAGTGTTGTCTCTGCGTCTGCCTCTGTCGGTCAGCAGCGACGCCATCAAACTTTGACAGAGATGGCCTGTCCGCAGGTTGACGAGGTACTTGTTGCAGTTGGAATATCGCAGGCGCTAAGCACTCGGATCGATGGCAGCTTCGCTCCGCGGCTTGGTAGCTCAATATCAGTGCTATGCCATTCATCCAGTGACTCACTTTGGTGCGGCGAGCGAGGCCGCTGTAGGCTCGCGAGGCGGAAGCGACATCGTGAGATAGTTCCCAGTCACAGTATATCACGACGTCTCAGACTAAAAAGCTCCGCATCAGACACTATTCTCCGTTCTGTACCACACTATTCCATGGCAAACGAACAAGCCATGGGCTACGCAAGCATCCGAGACGCGCTCTTGCCGTTCGTCCCGCCCGTGCTGCGTGTGAACGCGGCGACGCTCGAGGCGCTGCAGCCTTCGACGGACCAGCTGCGCAGCGTGCTCACTGCCGCGAACGCCAAGCGGCTCGGTCTCTTGCTCGTATGGGCGGTCGGCCTCTACAGCGCCGAGCAGATCGACGCCGCGCCGATCTTTGTCATGGGCAGCATCCTCTACGCCGTGCTCTCCAACCTCGGCGACAAGGCCACCGACTCGGTCAGCGTCGATGAGGATGGCAACGAGATCCAGCTGCCGAGCGCGTACTCGGTGTTCAACCGCAACAAGCAGCGGCTGCCTGGCCAGCTCACGACCGAAGATTTCGAGTCGCAGCTGCGCCACCGCCTACCACAAGACCATCACGACAGCAACGACGACGACGATGATATCGCTGGCGCCCATGCCGAGAACGAGGATGACGATAGCGATGCAGAGATGCGCGAGGCCATTCGCCGGTCCCTCGAAGACGCGCAAAATGCACGGAAGAAGCACCGCCGCAAGCCACGATGCTAATACACTCTCGCCACAATCTTATCCATAGCACTCTACAGCGATCGGAGGAGCTTCTCAATCTCGGCGTGGACTTCCTTGTCTTCGGTCGTCTTGATGGGCACTGCCTTCGCCTTCTCGAGCCAGAGCTTGGCCTCGGTCTTGTTGCTCATTTTGAGGTACGTCTCGCCGAGCAAGAAGCTGTTCTTCTTCCAAAAACCGGGGCTAATGCTCTCTACATCATCGCGTCAGAATATCAATGCATCAGTACACTATCAAGTGGGACTACCGGCGTCGTGAAAATGGCGCACTGCCTCCTCGTACGTGGCGGTCGGCGGCGTCCCAAAGATGACGGCCGCCGCCTTCTTCTCGTACCACGAGAGACTCGCAAACGCCAAGCACCACTGCCCGAGGATGTTGTGCGACGTGGCGTCCGTCGGGTTGAGCTCAATCGCGCGCGCGATAAACTCCTAGGTATCCGTGACGCGTCGTCGTCATCACAAGCAATATCGCCGTACCTTGATCTTGTATGCGCCTTCAATCTTCTTGGACGTCCCCAAGAACGAACCACACGTGCTGCGCAGGGTGCTCAACCTCTGCACCAAGTAAAGACACAAGATGTACCTTGTCATGATGCCCATCCACTTGTTGCTCATGGCGTGGTTGGGGTTGACCGCGTACGCTTCCTCGGCGTACTTGAGGCCCTGCGTGCAAGCGTCAAGTGGACTGCAAAGCAAGAGGACACGACGCACCTCAAACGCCAGCGTCTTCTTGCCGTCGTCGCTCGCACTGTCGGGCATCATGTCCTGGCATGACCGCGCGCACCGCCAGAGCTAGCCACATATATAAGCATGCGTGCACAGGATAAGGTTGTCATGTACGAGTTCCACGTCCTTGGGGTAGTGCTGGAGGTTCGTCGCCAAGTACGCGTGCAAGTCTCGGAACCGAACCTAAGGCAACCGTTGAGCAAGAGAATTGACTGCGTGTAGTGAACCTGGTCGTAGAGCTCGTCGGCGTGGCGGAGAATGGACTCAATCGATGGCGCTTCGCCTGCAGGTGCGCGGGCCGCCGGGAGGCTTCGCGTTGCCGGCTGGGCTGGGACCACGGGCGCCGGCGCTGCGACCGGAGTTGCTACATCCATACAGTCGGTCGACGCATCGCAGGACTATCGACATACGTGGCAGCGGCGTCGGGTTCGAATCCATGTTCATTTCGTTGTCGGGATACACGCTCTTTTCGGCAAGAAGCGGCGGCATAACAGACTCGGGCAACGGGCGGTGCTGGGCCGTGTGGGTCATGGACGCTAGCGTGTCGTTAGCGCCGCGTTATCAATGAAGATGAGCGTACCCGCGACAATGCCCATGCCGATAAACATGAGCGGCGCAAACATGTCCATCTGGAACACCGACTGCGTGCTCGTCATCGCAATCAAGATGGCCACAATGGCCACGATCGCCATAAAGGCGACGCCAAACAGCGAAAGCAGCATCGAGCCTTCTTGCACGACGAGGTGGTTGAACTGCGCGTCGTCGGCCATGGGCTCGTCGGCCAGCGCAGCGAGCTCGTCGACGTCGTCCGTCATGGTCGTCTCCGAAACAACCGCCGTCGACGCAGTGTTGCGCGCGGTGGGCAGCTCGCGCGACCGGTCTTGCTCGCCACCGAGGCCGCGCGTCGCATACCTATAGAGAAGCGCGGTGCCGGTGGCGGCGCCCGCGACCGCGACGATGCAGATGACGGTCCGTGCCCAGCTGCTGCTCATCGCTCGTCGCCACACGGCGAAATCGAATTCGCTGTTGATGCGACAGCAGATATCTCTCCAAGTCGATACCACCAATCTATGCGTTTTTACAGGTTTTGCAGAGCATAAAACCAGCCAATCGTGCGTCGCACGTGCGCAACGGACCAATCAACGACGAGCACAACCGGTTGAAAGATCGCCAACCGCCACCTTGCACAATTGGAGGTGGCGGCGAGTGACACGTGAGCGTCAGCGCCGACGCAACGACTCGCTTAGAACTAGGCCGCAACAGTCACATCATGGAAGGATCCGGGCTAAGATCTAGGGTTGCAATGCTGGCGCGTGTGCCCACGGCGCCAAGTTGATGCTCTCCGAAACGTATGCATCAACGGTGGCGCACACGATACTGTCATCCAGGGCATTGATGCACTCCCTTGGGCCTTAGAGTGACGCTAGCTGAGCCCATTCGAAATGTTCGCGGTCCTCTCGAGCGCGGACTGAGATCCATCGTCCAAGATCTGTGTTCTGATTTGCATGCGTCTCTCCATGCCGACAGCTACGCTGCCGACACGTGCATCTTGACGCTTGCCTTGTCGGGCGAGCCTTCTTGGTCAAAGACACGTGAAAGCACCGGCGGTTGGCTACTGCTTGCGGCGCGAAAAATGTGCATTCGCACCTTGGTCGCACTGGACAGGGCGAGATTGCCTGTCAGAATTCCGATGGGCGTTGGGAAAGCTGCAGTTCGAAAGATGCGAGTGTACCTCACAGTGCTGCTGGCAGCATCCGCCGTGCGCGGGAACGACAACGTCACGACGACAGCGCCACCGCCGAGCACGACGCCGCCATCGGTCATTACGTTTCCCCCGCGCACGACGCTGCCGCCCGCAGTCGTATCTTGGCCGCCACCGTCGCCGAGCGCAATACCGTTCGAGACACCATTGTCACCGACGACGAGCCCAGACAGCGTAGAGGGCATGCCAACCATCGTTGTCGTCTCCACGGAGCGTCCATCCAAGCAAAGCAGACCCAACTCCACCTCGTCCTCCTCATTGTCGTCGGGAGGTACACTGCATTTCTACGAGGCGTTATTTTCTCAAGGATGATCGATAGGCCAGTCGCACAAGACGCTGTACGTACTGCTGGGCTTTGGCCTCGCCGTGTTTGTACTTGGTATGCTTTTCGTGCTCATTTGCTCGCTCTACAAGAAGAAGATGAAGATTCTGCGCCTCCGAGCGCTCCAGCACGCGTCAAACTCGCGTCAGGAAGCGAGCGACGCCACCGAGTTTGCACGCATGCCAAGCCCGAAAGCCAAGCGCGTGTCGTTCGAAGTCCGAAGCACGCTCTCGTCCGAGCCCCGGTCGTCAGTCAACCCAGGAAATAGGCTGCCACCATTGACTGCCGAAAGTGCGACTCATCATCATTTGTAAACAAAAAACGAAACAATCCGCTCGTCCATGCTAATCAAGGAGGTAAAATAGTTCGATACACGCGTGTGGATTTCACACAAATACAGTATCCACGAACGCGTTACCCAAGTAAGCTTACACTAGTACACTGTATTCCAATCGACCAAAAGCAAAGTACTGCAGCTCGAGTTTACTGAGGAGATTCCCGCGTGTGGACGACTCCCATACTACTATCTTCTTCGTCTGGGCACAAGGACGTAGAGCTGGACGTAGTCGATCCTAGTTGCTTTTCATGGCTCTGACGTGGTGTCGGGTTGTGGCCGCGGGTTGTTGGGGGCAAATGGACCGAGAATGATTGCGCTCGTCAACAAAAATGGTTTGCGAGGACAATCATTCGCTCTTGCTGAGATTGCATCGGGCTGATGCATTCTCCAATTTGCCTTGTCATGGTCACGTTTGCCGTCTCGTCCGTGAAGCGCAACGTCTGCAAAGAAGCTCCAACCGACGGTCAGCCGGTCACGACGCTCAAGGAGTTTGCCAAAGAAGGCTGCAAGGACATTGTCCAAGCCACCAACCTCGGGCCTGTCGTCGCGTCGAAAAGTGGCTTTGTGCGCGGTGTCATTGAAGCGTACAACAACCACCACGACCTCGTGCTCCGACCAGACGATATTTGGCTCGCGATTTCGATCCAGTTTGGTCTGTACGTCGATGGCAACGCCGAAGAGCTTCGCTCGTCGCTCGTCAAGCACGAAAGCAAGAAGGAACTTACTGTCACGACTGCTGGCAGCCTTTACTCGGTCGACTTTGGCGCGCTCTCCAGACAAATGGTCGACAAGATGGACGAGCACCTCGTGGACCCGAGCCTCAAGCACTGGGTGCTTCCGTCCTTCTCGACAACGACCGACCACGACGTCATCGTCGGCAGCGTCGTGCTCATGGCCACGATGAAGAAGTACTTCGGCTTCAAGATTTGCCTCGGCTGCGGTCTTCCGCATGTGACGCTCCTCGGCACTGTGGACGATTGGCAAGACATTCGTCGTCGCCTCGACAAGCTCTCAGCTTATGGCAAGCGCATGCAGCAGTGGACGACGATGCTGGCGCCGATTCTCGATCAGTTTGTGGCGGCGGCACAAGGCCAGGCGGACGTTGCGTTCTGGGACCGCATCTGCAGCCACAAAGGCGGCGGCTCGGGTCCGAGCTACCTCAACGGCTGGATCAGCGTCTTTTGTGTCTTCAACGACAAAGGCCAGTGGCAAGGCGACAAGATGACCGACAGAGTGCTGCAACGCAAGCCCGACGCAGAGATGCATACAGGAGGCATTCCTTATCATTACGTCGACGTCACGTACGACTTTCCGCTCGTCGACATGCAAGACATTCCGCCCGGGTACCTTACCGTCGACGTGACGATCGACGACAACGGGACCGAGTACAAGGCGCTCATGTTTGCGGGGCACATGGCCTACAGCATTGGTGACAACAAGGCGTCGATCGCACCGTCGCTGAGCTGGGCGATTGCGCTCAAGAACGGCGAGCCGGCACCCGAGGAAACCAACCCATTTGCATAGTGAGACTGAGTGAGAGCTATCCAAAAGCATTTTTTAATATGCTTGATTTGAACATGTGCTCGATTCAAGTGACTGCTTTTGTACCACATGTAGTATGTGGCAAGGGTGAGGGTAATAAAAAGCTTTTTTTAATGATGTGGGCAGGTTCAAGGGCTGGATCAACGGCATGGTCGCTTGGTTCGCCGTGGATTTGTTGGAGAACGCTTGTGACTGCGCCACGTCATAATCCCAATCTGTGTCATAAAAGGGTGGCTCGTATCGCCACCATACTATTATCAAAACGGCGTTTCTCGCTATCACCGCATTTTGACAAAAATATTATAATATTTTGTCAATTCAATCAATTAGTTTGACGGGACCTAACCCTGGACCACACGACAAGTGAGTCGCTGGGTTGTACGATCCATTAAGCGCGATGTGCCGCCTTGGCCTCGGCCACGTAGCGCAAACGTTCGGCTTCGTCGATGGGAAAGGCCGCCAGAAGCACGCGCTTGAAGGTGTTGTCGTTCTGAATGTGGAACGCGCTCGTCAGAAAGTTGACCACGCGCTGCGCGCGATCTTGTTGGGTCGGGACGCGACCGCGGCTCCTCGATGACAGCGCTGGTCACTTCCCAACGAGTGTACTGATGCCGTGGTCGTTGCGGTGGACGCTATTTGGGTACCAGGCAAATTCGACTTCTATCTTCTCACTGCCTCTCTCACGTCGTTTTCCCCTACTGCCTGCACTTGAAGCACGCACTCTGGTGTCCAGACCGCATCACCACATTGCCCAAGCCGGTACGATGGCCAAAGACCGGCTGAAATGGTGCCTAGAGCTGGCTTGGACGTCGTGGAGCGGTGTGACCGTATATCGCCTTCCTCGCCGTCTGTGGCCGCGCCACGTCAGAGCCCAAATCTGTGTTATAAAAGGGTTTGCCATTTCTATGACATACATATATTCAATCATTTTTTATAGTTACCACCGCTTTTTGACAAAATCGATCGTTTTGTCATTTTCGTTGACTAATTGGACGTCACCTAACGCGTCGAGAAGTCCAACGACGATCTTGTTTCGAGCATTGATGTTGCGCGACCAGCACATCAGGTAAGGCTCGTGCGCACGCAACGACATATATGCCTTGTAGACGCCTTGAGCGCACGATCCACTTACTCGGCGAACAGCGCTTATGTTGCATGTCCCATGATCAAGTTGGGTGTTTCTAACGCTCTGTGTTCCATACGCCAATTCCAGATGCAATTCGCGGACCTGCCGCTGCCGGCGCCGGTGCAGGCGAGTCTTCGAGCCTGCGGCTTCCATGTCCCGTCGCCGATCCAGGCCAAGGCGCTGCCGATCGCTCTCTTTGGGAACGACCTCATTGCGCAGGCCAAGTCGGGCATGGGCAAGACGCTCGTCTTTGCGACAGTGGCCATCGATCTCGTCCATCGTTCGAGCACGAGCTGGGCTGTCATGCTGGCGCCGACGCGCGAGATTGCGCTGCAAATCCAGCATGTGTTGCAGTCATTGCTCGCACCGATTCCAAGCTTGGACGTTACCATGGTCGTTGCATGCATAGGTGGGCTGCCCATCGACACGGACGAAGCGAACCTCCGGCGCAAGACGACACGGCTCGTCGTGGGCACGCCCGGTCGTCTCAAGTCGCTCGTTCAGCGCAAGAGCCTCCTTGCCGACCAAGTTCATCTCCTCGTGCTCGACGAAGTCGACAAGCTGCTTCAACCCGACTTTGAAGCCGACGTACGATCCATCATGAGCTGCTTTAGCTGGACGAACGCCATTCATTTTAGATGCGATTTATCCTCTCGGCGCTGCCAACCTCCAAGCAAGTACGTGTCCATTCCTACGTCTTGATGGTCATCACCTTCATATAGACGATCGCTTGCTCGGCCACGTTCACGCCCGACCAGCTAGCCGACCTCGCACGGCAAATGCATCATCCGCAGGTGCGCACGTCCACGTCGACCTCACATGCACTCATGGAAGCCTTGCATCAGTTTGTTTGCGTGCGCGGACCCAACGTTGTCACGACCGAGTACGTCCAGGCCGACGACACGGCCGCATGGCGCGACCGCGAGGCCAACGCGGCGCCCGAGGTCTGGCTGCGCGGCGTGCAGCAGCGCTACGTGCTTTTGGATCCATCGAGAAAGGAAGAGTTGCATGTCGTCAAGCAGGAGCAGCTCACGAGCCTCCTCACGCGCCAGCCGTTCCACCAGTGCATCGTCTTCTCCAACGACAAGTTTCGGTGCGAAGACGACCGCTGCATTCTCTCAAGTAGCTTCCTTGTAGCGCCGAGACGGTCGCGGCGGCGCTCTCGACCAGCGGGTTTCCTGCCGAGTGCATCACGAGTGCGCAGAGCCAAGAGCAGCGCACGGCCGCCATGGACCGCTTCCGGGCGTTTGGAGTGCGCATTCTTGTATCGACCGATCTCACGGCGCGAGGCATTGACGTGGACCGCGTCAACCTTGTGGTACGGTTCGACGTGGATCGTCGACACTAGGATATGGATGGTTCGTAGATCAATTTGGAGCTGCCGCGGGACCCGGCGACGTATTTGCACCGCGTTGGTCGCGCGGGGCGCTTTGGGGGACACATATCCTTTGCACGAATCTTCTTGGTTATGGGTTTTGTATATGGATGAGGGACCTTGACGATATGTACGGCGTCGCAGTGACGCTGCTTGGGACAAAGGAGCTCGCCGCAGTCGAAGCCCTCGCAAAGCTCTTCAAGATGAAGATTACCGAGCTCGACTCTCACTGCGCCGTGACGCCCGACGTGGAAGACGACCACGAGCAAGGCTTGTACGCGCACACGGACCTTCCAGAGGAGCTGTACCAGCGCAACCCGACCCCGCTTCCCCCCGTGCTACCGTTGCTGCCAACGGAATTTGTCGCCGTAGAGTCGATCGAGGTCGTCGCCAAGCAGGCCGATCAACCGCGGTCACGGCCGACCCAGGCTCGGGAACTTCAAGCCCTGAAAACGAGCCAAGACGACAAAGCAGGCGCCGTCCATACACCCTTCCTTCGCGACGGAAGCGCCACTAACAATGTCCTTGCCAAGGAGGACCCTGCCGCCAACGATCACGAAGAGATGGTCGAGAAGCCGTGGACGCCGTCGCCGGCCTACGAAGACGAGGAAGCGCAGTACGAAGCCTGGTGTCGAGCATTTCGATAGCTTGGGTATCCACCTCGTAAGATGGAGAGACATAGGTAGTTTGACCACTATAAGTAAGAAGGGGGGGAAAGACACGCTACGTGTCGAAGTCCACGAGTTGCCGGACGGCCGTGCTGCCATTGTGGCGGCGGATGGGCGACGAATCGGGGCTCGAATCGTCGTCTTCCTCATCCTCAATCTCGAAGCTCTTGCTGTTGCGCTTCATCATCGGGGAACCAAACTCGTCGGCGTTGGGGGTCGGGCGCGGCCGGCAGCCCGGCTCGATGCGACCAAAGCCTTGCGGCTGCCACTCGAAGCCGCTTTGTCGAGGTGACTCCTGGAGGTCGTCGTCGTCGTCGTCTTCGTACATGGCATGATGCTCGGACGCGAGCGAGAGGAGCGTGCAGACCTCGCGCGTCGGGGGCGCTTCCTTCGTGAGGATGGTGTAGGCTACGAGCCCGAGCAAGATCGCAGCCACGCGCAGGAGCACGACGTTCCACGAAGGCAGCATGATGGAGACGAGGATCACGTCGACCACGCCAGCGGCGGCGAGGAAGGGATGCATCTTCCGCAGCGTCGACCGGAGCATGAGACTTGTCTTGGCGAGGAGGGCAAATGGGTTCTGAATGATACGTTGGTCGTCGATACTCAATATAAGGATATTCGAGTAAAAGGCGCGCTTGGGTACAGAATATTGCGACCACGACGGGACGACACGCGAGATATATTCATATTGGACCGTTGCGAAGCGCGCCTGGTTGTTGAGAGCTTCGACATTTGCACCTAAATTAGAAAAGGGAAGATATGTCAATATTGCGTCCATATGGTCACCCAGCTGGTGCGCACGGCGGTGGCTGCTGAGCCCGCTGGCAGCTGCACGACCACAGTCGACGACCTGGGTTCTTCGGCCGGCAGATCAGCGCTTGTGGCAAGTTGAACTCCGTTGCGCAATATTCGAGCGTTCATTGGCCAAAACTGGCTGTAAATCCTTGGCGACAGCCAATCCGCACGTTGCAAGGACTCTGGCCGTCGCTCTGGTCGCATTTGCCCATGAGCAGCGCCAACATCGAGTCGCAGCCGCTGCTTCCCGAGCGGACGTCGCTCCGCCAGCAGCGCACAATCAACTGTGAGCTCATGGCTTACGACCGCATGCACGCTCATGGTGCTGCGACAAAGTAGGGTCCATCTTCGTGCCAGTCTGCCTTGGCATCAGCCTCATTTGCGTCGGGCAGCTCGTGCTGAGCGTCGTGCACAACTCGCTCGGCAGCGCAGAGACGTTCACGGAGCCCGCGCACTTCTTGTCGCCGCGGCCATCCACGGCCAACTGCTCGCTGCATTGGTTTGACCAGCGCGTGGACCACTTTAGCACGCTCAACACCACGTACGCGCAGGTATTACATCATGTTTCATACCTGCTTGTCGCCAGAACTGGACGGACGGCGTAGCGCTACTACGTACACGATGCGTTCTGGAAGCGTAAGGCCGACGGTCACAAGGCGGACGGCCCGATCCTCTTCTACTGCGGCAACGAGGGCGACGTGACGCTGTACGTCAACAACACGGGCTTGATGTGGGAAAACGCCGAGGCGCTCGGCGCGGCCTTGATCTTTGCCGAGCACCGCTACTTTGGTGCGTCGTCTCGATCGTACGACACATACTGACACTGTTCTGGTGCAGGCGAGAGCCGCCCGTTTGGCGCCAACCAGATGCAGCACTTGGCCTACTTGACGCACGAACAGGCGCTGGCCGACTACGCTGTGCTGCTCCGGGCGTTCCAGACGTCGCGCAACTCGTCGTCGCCGGTCATTGCACTCGGCGGCAGCTACGGTGGCATGCTCGCATCATGGTTCCGCATGAAGTACCCGGGCACGATCACCGGTGCCATTGCGGTACACCAAATGGCATCAACCGCGTGCACACCGACTCATGTTGTCGACTGCGTAGGCATCCGCCCCGATCCTTGGCTTCCCCAAAGGCTACCCCGAGCACTTTACAGGTGAAAAGTACTGGCAAGTCGTGACGCACGATGCGACGCCGGCAGCGGGCGCTGCGCCGACGTGCGAAGCCAACGTCCGGGCGTCGTGGCCGCTGTTGTTTGCGACAGCGCAGACAGAGACTGGTCGCCGCCAGCTGGGCGAGATTTTTCGCCTGTGCCGACCACTCCAGACGGCAGCGGACGCCGAGACGCTGGCCATGGGGCTCCTCATGGCGTGGGACACGATGGCGATGGGCAACTTTCCGTTTCCGTCGAGCTACCTCACGGGCGGCGCCGCCGACCTCCCGGCGTACCCTGTCCGCGCGGCGTGCGACGTCATGGCGACGTCGACGAATGCCTCGACGCTCTTGCCGGCGATGCGCGACGCGGCCAATCTCTATTTGAACGCAACCAAAGACGTGCCTTGCTTTGCGTGGGACACCCAAGACTTTGACGGGCTCTGGGGCTACGTGTGGTGCTCGCAGATGCTGCCACAAGAGTCATATTTCGACACGGACGGCGTCCACGATATGTTTTGGCCGCGGTCGCTCTCGTTTGACCAAGTGGCTGCCGACTGCAAAGCGCGCTGGGGGGTGTCGCCGGACCCGGACTGGATCCGCACCTCCTACGGTGACCTCGAGACGATGCTAAAAGCGACGAGCAACATTGTGTTTTCGAATGGCGGCTACGACCCGTGGCGCTCCGGCGGCGTCCTCGCCAACCCGTGGAACCCCAGCATTGCGATCGTCGACATCCCGGAAGGCGCGCACCACCTGGATCTCTTCTTCAGCCACAAGGACGACCCGGTCTCGGTGCGCCACGCCCGGCATATTGAGCTTGATCACATTCGCCAATGGATCCGCACCTTTGACGCGTGAATCCCATAGGAACAGATTAACTACGAGTCGGATCCTGCTCTTGCAGAGTATGATTGATACATTGAGCTTTCGACCTGGGACCTCGGTCCGTACTGTAGTCTAGCCCTCGTGACATTAGCGTAACATAGCGGCGTGACTTTGACAAGGTATTACACCATGGTGGAGAAGGCTGCCGATCGCGAGCGATGCTGTAGCTGATAGAGCTCGTATCGACAGACAGCAGCGTACCGATGCACAGGCCGCCGCGTTGTGTAAACGTCGCCTGGAGCGAATTAATAAAAATATTTTTCAGCACTAGATAGACCAGTTGTGATGCCGTTCCCTATTGCCAACTATCGCATTGGGTTTGCGTCCCCCAAGTCAAAACAACTGCTGTGATACAAGCCAACAGTGAGGACGTAGTTGCAGCTGTGAGACTCCAACTGCAACAAGTACCTCGTCAACCTGCGGACAGGCCATCTCTGTCAAAGTTCGATGGCGTCGCTGCTGACCGACAGAGGCAGACGCAGAGACAACACTTGAGGAGCTTTCGATACAAAGGAAACGCGAGATCGTATCCTATCGTCGCCTACGCCTTGTACTGTCCGTTCGAGAGGCTGCAGCCAGGCGCCGGCGCCATGGTCGGAGATGGCTTGTCGGCCTTGATGGCCTTGACGGCTTGGCCGTTGCCTTGCAGTGGCACGCAGTTTTCTATCGCAGAAAGGTCGTTGAGGCTGACGTGCACGCAAGGAAGGAAGAGAGAACGTACTGTACACTTGCCACTGGGGCTGGTGCAGCGCGAGCCAGTAGAAGCGAAGCATGCAGCCGTCACCCGCGCAGCTCGAGTAGTCGACCGGCAGGTGGGCCGCGGGCTTTTGCGGAAAGTTCGTCGGGCAGTCGTCGTTCTGGAACACGCGCTTGTCGTCCAGCCATACCTCGCACGGACCCTATGCATGCAAGATGAGCCTCAAATCACCATGGCTTGTCTACCGTGTGGCTCGAGATGAAGCCTTCGCCCGTGTCGGGGTTCCGCCACGTCATGGTGCCATCGGACGGGATCGTCTTCTTGGAGGCGTTCGGAAGCGAGTTGCCGCAGGCCGGCCCTTGGGGCTCGAGCATATCGCGGAGCGTCTTGAACTGGGACTGCGCCTTGAAGGCACTTGTAAAGGCCGCGACATTCTCTTGCGGCGAGCCGTCAAACTTGCCGGGCAGGTTGGCTTGGATCGTCGCCACGTACGTCGTACGCATGACGTTGAGCGAGAACTCGGCCGCGGGGTTGGACACGATGCCATGGCCGGCAACCAGCGCGAGCGAGATGCCGAGGGCAGAGCAGCGGAGCGGAAGCATGCGATCGACAGGTTCGAGTCCGAGGTGGCGAATTCGCAAATAAGCTTGTGTAGCGCCGGCGCCAAAGCTGTAGAAACCACGGGTAAAGGCGACGGGTAAAAGCGCCGAGCCCTGTCGCTCCGCCGAGTCGGCGCCGGTCGCAGGCAAGCGCATCGGTGCTGGACAATCGCAATGCGTTGGTGCCAAGGCCATGACCGAGCGGCGCGACTGGCGCAAAGGCTCGGTGCTCGACGCTGGCAGGGGAGGCCCATCGGTCGCTCGCTGGTTCGCTCAAGTTTCCGCGTGTTGCCGAATGCAAATAGCTCGTAGGTGGCATGTGCCACATCCAAGTAGCCATGAAACGCAGGATCTCGCGCTCACGCGCCAATGGCAATGCACGAGACGCGCGAAAGATCCAACGCCGCCGACAGCGACTTGTAGTCCGTCATGAACAGTGCTACGTAGAAAATCTCAACTATAGCAAAGTCTATAGAGTGTAGATAGACTAAATATCGTTTTGGCCACAAAAGAACGAAGCCATCAGGAAGATCGCGATGACTTTTCTGCAAACTTTCCGGATTTGTCAACCGTTTTGCTTCCATGGCCGATGGGATTACGTTCGACAGCGCCAAGGGCGAGGTCGATATCGCGTCCGGGCATCGTCGCTGGGTGCGCGAGGCGCTCGAAAAGCGGCTCAAAAAGGCGACAGCGACGGGCGCCGTCGACTTGAGCGGGCCGCTCGCGTCGAGCCTCGTGTCTGGCCACGCGAGTCTCCAGCTCGACCTTGTGCCAAAAGAGCTGTTTGCGACAGCGTCCAAACTCTCGTGGGCAAAGACGCATCTGCGGCGACTGTACCTGACCAACAACTCGCTCTCGCTCTTGTCGCCCGAAGTGGCCCTCTTCCAGCAGCTACGCGTGCTCGGTCTTGGCGGGAACGCGCTCACATCGCTGCCAACTGAGATCGGCACCCTCCCGCACCTCGAAGCGCTCTATGCCGAGCGCAACCAGCTCACGTGTGTCCCCGAGTCGCTCGGTCGCTGCAAAAAGCTAGCAACCGTGACGCTCGACTACAACCGGTTCCGGACCTTTCCGCTGCCGCTCACGCAGTGCAGTCGCCTCCAGCATTTGAGTTTGAGCCACAACGAACTCTCGGAGCTGCCGCCGCACATCCGCCGCCTCTCGTGGCTCCTAGAGCTCAATCTGGACTACAACCGCCTCGGACCCGACTTGCCACCTGAAATGATGTACTTGAGCCGGCTCCAGCGGCTCGGACTCGATATGAACCGGCTCGGGAGCGTGCCGCACTGTGTGCTCATGCTGCCGCAGCTCACAAACGTGCGCCTCAACGGCAACCGACCGTCCAACTACGTCGTCAAGGACTCGGTGACTGGCGAAGTGCTCGACGGTATCAACGTCCCGGTGCGCTCTGGTCGACTCTTCAATGTATATATCAATGGGCGATGACCTAGATGCGCCACGATGGCTACTTGCAGCTGCGCGAGGCTGTCATGACCAAAGACGAAGGCAGCGAATTGTACAAGAAGCGTGTCCAACATCTCGACGGCCTCGTTCCTGCCACGGACCTCAACCTCGAAAATGCATTTCACGACCGCGACAAGGACGAGGTACTCGCTGTCCATGCGATTCCTATCATTTCAAATACGCGGCGCTAGATTGGCCGCAAGATTCTACACGGCCGCAAGTAGCAACTGCACAAGTGCACACAAGAGGTAATTTTTCACTGTTTGCTTCGCCAAAATATCTTGAGCTCCATAAATTAGGCGATTCAAAGTTGTGCCCATGACCTTTACACCATACTATTGTATTAGTGCATGGCGCTGTTAAAATAGAAAAGGCGGGGCGTTCGTTCAGTAAGACTAGGCATCCCATCAGTCTGGTGGTACAAAATATATGCTTTAAAAACACTGCGGCAGCCTGGTATCGAAGTGCCGACGTAAAATTAAGAGTGGTTTTGAACGTGTTTATTTCAATCAAGGCAGTGTACAGCATTCCAAGTTTTCTAAAATCTCGCTCCTGGTGGCGCATTGTCTGTTCTTTTTGCGGCAAAGATGATTAGCATGGCGAACGCTATGTTTGTAGGGGACATATTCAACTATGGACGCACCACTCGCTCACTCACTCATATTATTGTGCCTTGGAACGCGGAGTGTCGCTGACGACGGAGCATTTTTGGGTTTGGTCATGATTGCAGGACCACAGTAAAGACAATGCACATGCCTCACCTCTGCAACGGTCTCGCCTCCGCAAAGCTGTCGCTCCACACTCAAATCAAACGTCCACGACCATCACTTGCTACGCAAAATTGCTATACCACAAGTGCAGTATGACAAACCCGACACCATCTTGCATCAATTGAAACATTACTTGGTTGATATTATTCCGCTCCACGATATATATATCAAGTTCGAACGATCAATTGCACCCATGGACGCGCGACCCGGCGTTCGTTTGTTGAAGTATCAAGTAGTACGTAGCAAGCAATGCCACATGTTCCTTTGCCGATCATTGCATGCTTGGCGCACCTCGGTCAGTCTCCCACCAAAATAGCAATTGCCAGGTCGGTCATTGGACAGACGCACCTCAGCAAGGTTCGCCAATGGCTGCGACGAGCACTATCAAGTTTATCAACTTGAAATCTAGTGGCGCACGTGGGGCATCCGGCATTATTGTAGCGTGTTTGAAAGTCTCAGTTTGCAATTCAGACCCGACGACACAGAATGACCCAGAAGAAGTGGACCGACGACGAGGTTTGCGCTTGCATCTTGGCATGGTCAGCACCTCACAGTCGACTGTAGATTGCAGCCCTCAAGGATGTCGACCCCGATAGCACGACGTGGAAGGTGATCGCAGAAGGCTTTCCCGGCCGCAGTCATGCCAGTTGCCGCCAGAAATGGTTAACAATCACTGGCGACACGAACGAGGGCGATTGGAGTCGTGACGAAGACGACTGGCTCTGCTACGCTATGAGCATCACCAACAAGTGGCCCAAGATCGCCACGATCGTTGGGACGCGCAAGTACGCCGCATGGAACAGCGTCACGAGGACTCATGTCGATGCTCTAGTTATAGACAATGCCTCACTCGGTGGCAGCGGATGGGCGAGAAAGGACTCGCGATCAAGTGCAGCGCCAAGCCTAGCGGTCGTCCCGCCCTCAAAAAGACGGCGAAGGCACTCTCCACGACGCCGGACGACACGGTCTTGGACGTATACGCACAAATTGAAGCCATGGACCTCAACTGGAGCCACACTGTGCCGGCGCCGATCGGCCCCGACGATGTTGTCTGCAGCTTTGCTTCGATGGATGAAATCGCGATGCGGTTACCCGCAGAGGCCGAGATGGCGCCTGTCGACATGGCGCCGACACCCGATGAGCCATTGAGCCAAGCCGAAGTCGACTATTGGTCGGCGGTTGTGCTCAACAGTACGCAATTCCCCAGCACCAGCGCTGTAACATGCTCTTTTGCCTAACAAAGCAATGTAATACATTATCCCATCTAAAGCCCAAGTACAGTTGTAGCTCATCGGATGGTGCATACAGACGCGCTCCTCTTCTTATCGTGCTTATGTCGACGTCGTACCTGTGGCATCGGCATCACTTTGTTCACGACGCTACTCTCGGTGGTGCGTTTGGCCTGCGCATCGACCTCGGCGTTGAGCGCTCACTGAATCTCTTCGTCAATGTGCGCGAGCACATCCCTTTTTATCAACTTGATACATCGCGGTAAGGTCGAATGGTCCTGCTGTAGGTCATGAGCGTCACCAACAAGTGGCCCAAGATCACCGAAATCAAAGCGCAAGCACTGGGAAGTACTGGCACGTAGCATGTGACTGCGTCATGAGGACTCATACTAGTAGATAAGACACCATGGAATCACTGTGCTAGCCTAGAATCGAAGTGCTGATGTAAAATTAGGTCTCACTTTGAGAGATTAAACTTTTGAAAGAAAATTTTCAGATTCCGCGCTTTCTCATGTCTCGCTCCTGGTTGCGCACGGTCTGTCCTTTTTGCTAGAGAGCTTTTACAATATAGGCAGCCAACTTGTTGTGGAACCTTCCTCCACACGGCTGCAACACGTCAACTGCATCTCTTGCAGCACCGAATGACGTAGGAGCGTGGAGGCGCTACATGCCACTTTGGTTACCTTGGCCAATTCGAGCTCATTCGCGAAACGTATGCGAGAGTCATGAGGTACAATAGTCTATATTGTGTCTGGAATAACTTAGCGGACAACGACAACTAGGAGATAATACAGCACGAGTTGGCCGAGTGGGGAATCGTAATCGGCCCTTGTTTGACTTCCCACTCCATGTACTCGACGATTTCGTTCTGGAAGGCAATGTAGCTGCAAAACTGCCAGTCCTTGTAGAACTCTTGGTCGGCCTCCACGAGCTTGACACCCTACATTTCTCAAGCTATTATCAACGTATCAAGTCACGTCGAACCTGCGTCACGGCTGGGTCAAAGCAGCCAATGTCGGCCTGCGACGCCGCGTTGATGTCGCGGTCCGGCACGAAAGGCGGTGGCACCGACATGGACTCCATCGCGGCCCAGTCGACGTTTTCGAAAAACTTCATCTTTTTAATCTCGTCGGCCCCGTTGGCGCCAAGGCGGAGGCGCGGGTCTCGTACCAAGAGCCCTACATACACAAGCATTTCAGCCATTGGATGGAGGCTGGAAGCCTTGTACGCTGAAGGAGGTCGGTCGCGGCGGGCGTAAAGTACTTTGGGTCGTACGTGGGGGTGAGTTCGAGTGTCGCCATGTCGTAGGCTTTTTGCTACCGTTTGAATATAGTATGCACAATGTTGTCCTAGTCTTCATACCTTGTCGGCGTGCAAGGCTTTGGCTTTCGAGGTTCGGAACGGGCACTTGCCGTAGAGCATTTCGTAAACAACGCAGCCGTAGCTCCACCAGTCGACCGCTTGGTCGTAAAAGAGGCGGTTGCCTTGCGAATCACGGAGCAGCATCTCGGGGGCCCAGTCTACGAGCATGATCCTCAGTGTTGTCCTCGCAGGCGGCAGGTCGTACAGCCGCGCGTGCCGCAGCGGCCACAGAGGTTGGGCGTCACTTCGACGGCCAGCCCAAGGTCCGAGATGGAGCAGTTGCCTTTGTCGTCGAGGAGGATGTTCTCGGGTTTTAGATCACGGTACACAATGTTGTTTTCGTGCATATGTTGCAGGCCCAGTAGGATTTGCGCCGCCCAAAACATGACTTGCTCCTCGGTGAACCTACGTACACGACATACGGCACATGTATAGACTAAGGGGATGGCGCACCGGCCGCGGTTGAGGTGGAAGCTGAGGTCGCCGCCCGTGCGCAGATCCAGCACCAGGTACAAGTCTTCCTTCGTTTGGAAGGCGTACTTGAGACACACGACAAAGGGCGAGCTGAGCATCGTTAGAATCGCCCGCTCGGCCAAGCAGAGCTTCTCCGCATGCTTCTTCTTGATGATCTTCTTGTTCATCGCTTTGAGCGCGTAGAGTTTACCTAGCCGATGCTCCATATGCATACGTCATTGGTCGTAGGTTCGATACCGGTGTTGCGCTTGATGGTGCCGTTGACCATGCCAAAGCCGCCGCGCCCGAGCACCCGCAGCAGCGAAAAGTCGTCCTCGCCAATCTCGCGCGACTGCAGATAGAGGAATTGCACCAACCGGTTGTAGAAGCTGCTGGCGCGGAAACCGGCCATGTGCACGACGTCAAGCGCACCAAGAACACACGCTTCCAGCTGGTGGAAGAGCGTGACGTCCACAGACGATTTGGCGTCCGAGTCCATCGCATTCTCTTCTTCGCGGTCGAGCGCGGTTCGTATCGCTGCCAAGATGGGTCCGGCGACCCCGAGGATGTGCGCATCGCTCTTGTAGCTCATGTACAGCTGCGTTCCGTCGGCAAGCGAGAGCTTGAACTCTTTTTTCCAGGCAAAGTTGGCTTCCCCGGGCGCCTTGGGCGCGACCGGTGGCGGCTGAGGACGCGGCGACGCGGCGGACGAGAGCGCCGAGAACGCGTGGTCGTGGCGCGACGGCGGTGCCTCCTTTGGTAAAACGGGCTGCACGAGCACGGTCGAGGCTTCGTCACAGTACCGCTTGTAGATGGCTTTGGCCTTTTGCAGCTGCCGATTGTGCTGTGGAATGTTGCGAAAGGCGTGGACGTCCATGAGAAAGAGGAGCTTCTCGACGCCGTGCGCTTCGGCTTCGCAGTACCGGCGAAAGAGGTAAAAGCCCAGCGGTTGAGACAAAAGGGCTTCAACACCGAGCCACTCGGTGTTGAGGCGGTTTTGTTTCGAGATAAAGTCGGCGAGCTCGGTGGGCGACGGCGTGTAAAAGGCGATCGTGGGCCGCGGCCGCGGGTCGACCATCGCGCCAATGTACTGCGCGTCTTGGATCGCGTCCTGGAGCTCATCCATGCCGCCTGTGCCACCACGAGCTGCGGTTGCAAATAAAGAGCACCGCGTTTCGCGCCGAAATGGAGACGCTATTTATAGATCGGTATCCGTATCCGGTTGCGGACGTCATTTGTCAAATTGCTGGCACATACAAGTACACACCAACTAACTAACGTTGGGAGTCGCGACAGGAAAGGAAGGTATGCTGGCACGTCGACGAGCTCCTAACGTCAACGGTGGCCCCGAGTTACTTCAGTGTATGAATGTACGTAGTACTCTAATGGAGGACTACAGACTGTACCACAAGGTGGCTGGTTGCCGATGGACGAAGCCGATGGACGACGGTGGCGAAAGGCTGGTTGGGTGCGACTTGACAACGACGATGCTATACAAATACTACACTCGACGGGCGGCGGCGGCGGGGCGATGGGCACCAACCAACTGCACGTGCGCGTGGCGTGGGATCGGCACGTACTGTCGACAGACGCACCCTTCACCTCCTTCCCAAAGCTTCCCCATTTTCACAAACTGTCACCTCTCGATGCCTACGAGGTGTGGTATTAACTGCATTGAGCTCCTCAGAAATGTGGTCCACTCGACCCTGCAGGACGAGAAATAATGCTGTACTCGTATGTGCCTACTAGCCATTCGATGCTGGCCCCAGCAAGAGATCCAGAGTCGCAAGCGGACGAGTAATGCGACTAATTTATTCTGAATTTGGTTCCCACATGCCGCAGACGCATGTGTTGACGCGCTAGCGTGCATCGCGACTCATGGAAGAGCGACCGGTATCGCCGAGGCGCAACAGTCGCGAGGTGTAATGGTCCATGCACGCTTCCAAATTCGAACAGTCTTACGCTTGACCCGCTGCCACAATGCAGTTATTTAGTCGGTGACGAGGACACCGACGATCAACTTAGCTAGAGTCAATGGCGCACAGAGCTGCCAGTGCCAGGCCGGTGCCAGGCCCGTGACGCATTATTTACTCACTGTGAATGCCAACTTTGGGACAGTGCTGAGCAATCTTTTCGTATCGAGACAGTTTGGAGAAAGAAATCATCTATTTCAAGGCGGAGGAATGGGATTGGCGCATTGGTCGCAGATATCCAAGCAGTTGGCAATTCGAGGGTTGCAGCACGAGCATGGCACCGCCTCCGCCCACCGACGTCTCGGTCCTCTGTCTTCGGCTGCACATGCGCAAGATGCAGACGCGCGTAGCTGGCCTCCTCGACGCGCTCGCCAAGGCCGCGCCGCCACTCGAGCCGCAGTCGTCGCCGGCGAAAGACACCGATCTCCGGCCCGGCGAGACCGACAAGATGATCGCCGACCTCGTCGTCGAGGTCGAGCGCCTCAAGCATGAGCTCTCGAGCCGCGACGACGAAAACGCGCGTCTACAGAACGACAAGTCGGCCCTTCATCGACAAAACGTGCTGTTGCAAGAAGAGAACGCGGCGCTGCGTCTCCGGCTCGAGCACGACGAGGTCGACGCCGAGCTTTCGCCCACAAAAACAGACGACATGGACGACGATCGCAGCTGTAGCAGCAGTGAGCGACCCGTCTACGACGACGTCGATGTTGACCGTCTCGCGACGGAGCTCGAAACCCACACACAGAGCTTGCGCGACGAGCTCCGGCTCATGGCCCTCGAGCGCGATCGCCTCGAGAGGGAGCGAGACGAAGCTCAGGCCGCCGCCGCACGCGCACTTGCCGAGGGCAGCCGCCTCGCTGGCCACTCCAACGGTCAACAGCGCATCAAATACGTGCAGACGCTGCGGGACGAGAATAATCGACTCACTTTGCAGCTGCGCGAAGCCGAGAGTCGCCTCGCTCGCCTCAAGCCCACGCCAACACTCACCAAGCACGTGGATGCGACCAAGCCAAGGACCACCACAAGTAGTACCGGCTCCAAGCCGCAGTTACCAGTGAAAACGGCGACGAGCGCCAAGTCGACTCTGCCAGTATCCAAAAAAGGAGCTCGAAAACCCACGCCTCGCCGTGTGCCAACGTCATTGTAGTCTCTGTCTGGCGGCTCCTAGCTATTTATGTACAAATTGAAGTCACTGTCCTAGACGATTGCGAGCCTTCAACGATGCGAGACTTGCCATTTGACTGCTTCAAAACTGGGCTCGCACACAACTGGAGGACGGCAGCCTTGGCGTTGCGCGGCTGAAAGACTGAAAGGTTTCTATAAGTTTGCCATAAGTCTACTATAAGTCTACTACAAATCCTTGAGTCCTAGGAGAGGGTGCCACTGCAAAGCGACGCGATTGGATCGGCAGCAAAATCGATGGCATTCTATGGTTCGAAATACGAATTTCTGGGCAAATCTTTTATTCGGACCTGAAAACTGTATTGAACGCGCAGCAATCTTATTTTATTTCTTTCGAAGTATATCTTGTTGCCTTCGCCCGCCACTTTGCATTTTCAAGTTGAAGTGCCAATGGACCGAACGCGCTTTCTCCGCACCCTCGGTGTCCTCTACGGTATCTCGTTTGCGTCCATTTACGTCCAAGTTCAGAGCCTCTACGGCCCGTGCGTCGTTATAATCATCTGTACTATGTGGTCTTAACCTACGGTAGGGACGGCGTCGAACCGGTTGCCGCGTATTTGACGCGCCTTGCCAACGCCACACCCGACGCAAGCATCCCGCTGCAGCGTTTTGTGAGCTACCCGAGCCTCGTATGGTTTCATGACGCGCTCGGCCTTTCGCCAGACCTGATGATGGAGTTCCTGTGCCTTCTCGGCGGTGGCGCCGCCTGTCTTGCTGCGGCGAACATACTCACGCTGCCCGAGGTCTTTGCCGCCATGTGGAGCTGCTACCTCTCGCTCGTGCTCGTGGGGCAGTCGTTTCTGCGCGGACCGTGGGACCTCCTCCTCCTCGAAGTTGGGTTCCTCGCCCTCTTCGTCGCTGCGCCGTTCGACTTGGCGACCACCTTTGCGCCGTCGGCCGCGATACTCCATGCAATGCGGCTGGTCGGCGTCAAACTCGCGCTCATGTCCAGCGCGGCCAAGATCACGTCGGCGTGCCCCACTTGGCTCGGGCTCACGGCGCTGGACTTTCACTACGCGACGCAAGCGACGCCGCTTCCGTCGAGCTGGTTCATGCACCAGCTGCCGGTACGAACTCTCCACGAGGCAACACCCTATATATGTATATGGTGTAGCCCATCGTGCAACGCGTGACGGCCGCGGCGGGGCTCTGGATCGAAGGCCCTGTCGCGCTCCTGCTGGTGTCGCCGATCGCGCGCCATCGCGTCTTCGCTGCATCTCTGCAGCTCGTTCTGCACGCTGGCATCGCACTCACGGGCAACTACGGCATCTTCAATCTCGTCGCTAGTCTCGTCATGGTCGGCATCATGAGTGAAGCCCACGCCGCGTCACCACCGTCGCTCTCGTGGTTACGGTGGGCGTTGACGCATGCGTCAATGTACCTCTCGGTCTTTACGGCCGGCTACTACATGTTTGAGGTTGTCTACGAAGATACAACGCCGACATCGCTTCGGTTTGCGTGGTCAATCGGCCGGACGCAGACGATCCTCGGCGTCGTGTTACGCGGTGTCCTTGCTACCGCCCTGCTCTCGTTCGTCGTTGCGGTCGTCGGCCAGTTGTCCCACTCGGTGGTTGCTGCGGGCCACGACTTGCTTCGCTGCCGTCTTGGATGCACGATAGCGCTGGGCCACTTGACCTTTACGACACTTATCGGGTCTGTCCTTGTGCTGGCGTCGCTCGCGCAGCTGGCGTCCTTGGACCCGACGATCGAGCTGCCGGTCTGGGCGCGCAACACGGGGATCCTGGCGTCGCGCTTTAACGTGGCATCGACGTACGGGCTCTTCCACCGAACGCCGGGCGTAGCCAAAATCGAGCGCCACGGCCGGGAATTCGCCATCGTCGCGCGACCGACGCTCGTCTTTGAAGGCTCAGATGACGACGGCGCGACGTGGCGCCCGCTCCATTTCAAGCACCACCCGAGCAGCGTACTTACCCAAGCTTGTGGTCGTGAGAGTGATACACTCTTGTGTCTAGTTGTTCAAGTCGCCTGCGCTCACGGTGCCGCATCTTCCGCGGCTCGAGTGGCAACTGGACGTCGCGGCCAAAGGCAACTACAGCCAGGCCCCATGGCTGGTGCACCTTGCCGACAAGTTCCTCAAGGTAGCAACCATATCAGGAGTCCGGAACGAACGTTGGTGCAGGGATCCGAGCAGGCAAAGCAGCTGCTCGATGCGGCACAGGATCCATTCCGAGAGGCACCGCCACAGGTGAAAGGGTGCACAATGTGTCATTCGTGTACATAATGTCGTATAGCGCGTCCGCGTGCAGCTCTACCACTATGATTTTACGCGGTACAATACGTCGTGGGCGCGCGCGACACCCAAGGCCGTGGTACTGACACCGGCGATGAACGCGTCGCAGTGGTGGACGCGGGTACGACGCCATTTGTTTACGCATTTTCAATGTGTGACTATTGCGTTTGTCGATGATGGATAGAAACTGGTCAAGGAATACATGCCGGCGCTGGACGCGGCGAACCCGTCGGTCGCTTCGTTTCTCGCTGCCCACGGCTGGGAGCACCAAGACGAGAAGAAACCCGCTTGCTTCAACTCGAGTCGTCCCGTGCTCTGTCACACACTCGATCAGTTGCACCACGTGACGGCATCGCATCTCTACATGGCGCTCGTCCTCGGCCTTGTGCTCGTTGTGCTGGTTCCGCTTTTCATTCTGGAGACGCCCAAGTCGGCTGCGGCGCGCGTGCAAACGCTCGTGTAAAGTGCATTCACCGCTGCGTATGGTCAATATCAATTATTGGACACATTTGGCGGATTTTGCGTTGCAAAATAAACAATCAGACTCTTTTACATCTCTAAATTTAGTCAAATTTCCGTGCTCAACGCCTCGACCGAGGCCGTCGACAATGGGACTACCCAAAGCGCTTTCGTGGCTCGACGCGCCGCGGTCATTTGCGCAACTGGACGGTGACTCGCCGATCGTCATCTCGACGCTTCGCCGCGAGTGCCTGGCTGAGGCGTTTGCCACCTTTGTCCTCGTCGGATTTGGAGCCGGCTCGGTCATTCAGTCGACAATCTCGGCCGGCGCACTCGGCAACTACACGCACGTCACGTTGACGTGGGGCATCGCTGTCATGCTTGGCATCAACGTCGCCGGTGGCCGCAGCCGAGGCCACTTGAACCCAGCGTTCACCATTGTGTATTGTCTCTATCACAGCACCGAGATGTCGTGGCGAGCAGCGATTTGCTACTGTGGTAGCCAGCTCGTGGGCGCATTTCTGGGGTTCGCAGCCGTCTACAGCATGTATTACCGCGCTCTCCAGGCCTATGACCCGCACCAGTCGCTTGAGACGTCGGGTCACCTCTTTGCTTCGTACCCGGCCGCGACCGAAACTCTCGCGTCTGCCTTCTTCGGTGAGGTACTCAACTCTTGTCCGCACGTCCTACAGTTTCTTGGTTTGATTAGGTCGTTTGCTCGGCGTTTTTCATGGCAGGTGCGTTCGCCCTCGGCGATGCGAGCAACCCGTACCGCTCAACGCCGCTCCTTCCAGTGTTGACCGGGACACTAGTCGTGGGCGTTGGCATGGCGTTTGGTCTTACGACAGGTTGTTCACAGATCTTAGACCTCAAATGGAGTGTTAATGCGACATGTACGAGTAGGGTATGCGGTGAATCCGGCCGTGGACTTTGGTGGTCGTCTCTTCTCGAGCCTGGCGGGCTGGGGCATAGACGTCTTTTGTGCATGTGACAACTACTGGTGGGTGCCGATTCTGGCGCCACTCGTCGGTGGCTGGCTCGGCGCGGGTAGCTACCTCTTTTGCTCCGGATCGCCGTCACCAGCGGTGTTGCCCGACCCTACGTCGTAGCCCGCACCGTGGACCAGAGGTTAGGTATCTATACGTTTTTTCGAGCGATAGGCTGCAGTACAAAACACAGCGCTTGCGACTGCAACTTTGCAAAGAATATGAACAAGACCGTGTTTAGTTGGTCGTCTTACGTCCCAAATATATCATCGGTGACCGTGTTGCAGTAACCGACGGCAACAAGAATCTTGGAACGGAGACAATGTCGGTGGGTTGAAGGACATTGATCAATGGGAGTTGATCGGTATAAGTGCATTGCGCTCTTCGTGCGATGCACTTGGAGAACAAGATGGTGTCAATGGTCTGGACTTCGCGCGACCGGTCGTGATCGTACTAGGTGCTCGGTAACACGCATGAGGTGGGGACGACTATTTGACCATTGCAAGCTTGCGTATTCGTCCATGGTCGTGGATGCATCATTGTACTTGGGATCGAGCTGTCATGAAAAGAGAGAAAGAGAAGAAAATACGATTGGCGAACATAGAAATCAAAAGACAAAGTGACGTTACAAAACCGCATCGAATCATTTAACGCGGCTGCGCTTGTACCCGGGTCCAGTGTTGGTCTTGCGGTGCAGCAATCCATTAAGCGCGGTTTGCGCGTGTTACTTCTTCTAGGAGAGCTGCGGTGGCGGTTCGAAAAGCAGCGCTGCTGGTTCTATGTAGGTCGACAGAAGCTTGAAGCTGGTCGAGGCACGAAGCTGGTTGAAAGAGGCGCAAAACTGGTCATCGGAGGCTTGAAATTGTTTGGCAGCAGCGGCCTTCGTTGCGGTGTGGGCGTCTTGTCCTTCTTGGAGAGCGATGGCAGCAGGTCGAAGCGCTCGCAACGCAAATAGCTAGAAAAATGTAAAGATACCCGATCGTGCAAGGCTTCCATGTCGATCAAGCACTGAAATCACGCGGTTTGGATCTTTCGTTTTCACCGTATCTTCCGGATATGGTGCGCGGAAGTTGCCCTGTCACTGTAGGGAGCAGACGAGCAATGCTCAGGCTTGGAAACGATGTAGTGGTGGCTAGATCTTGTGCATTGACTAGAGCACAAACTCGAACAGGCGCGATTCTACGGAGTCCTTTGCTCCAATGATGGTCAATTTGTCAGCGTTTTGACGCTCAAAATGCTTGAATCCCTAGACTGCGTACAGTGCATCATCTCTCCAGTTGCTCAAGTGCATGCTTACTTTTCTCAACGACCCAGCGTTTTGTCTGCGCTATCGATCTCGTACTGTAAGAATGCCATTGCATCAACCTCAGACCTTTGGCTGGGGAGGTCCACGTGAGAAGTTCCAGCGTGGCGCTCTCAGCCAGAACGTTGACGGACTTGACGAACTCACTACTTGTCGTCTCTATATAGTTGGTATCGAGTGCGAGCTCGGCCTTTTTATTGTGCATATCGAGAAACCGCAGAGGGGTTTCGGCATGAGCAGCCGCCAGGTCGATCTGCGCACGGCCTACGTCCGGGAGGAGTACGTTCCGCCGGCGGCCCGCCCAAAAGAGTACGTCCACCTACTTGAGTCAGCCACGATAATTGCTCGCTACCTTGTAGTGGCCGACCGCGCAGCGCTGGCCCCGGGGGGGACCCATCCCCGACCAAAGGGCCCGAGCCACGACCGACATCGGCCCACCCGCGCCTGCACGACAAGCACATCGAGTCGGGGTACATCGTCACGAAGGCCGATTTGCGCCGGAAGCGACCACCCGACGACGTGAGCGACCGCGTTCGTCAAATCTATGCCGACGTGGGCCGCGTTGCGCGCAAGCCAGCTGCCAAGCGCGACGACGGAGGTCTCCACGAAGCCCTTCTCGCGCTCAAGTACGAGCTCCGGCAAGAGCAAGACCGTCGGCTCAAGGTCGCGGCCCGCAACCGGCGCCTCGAAGAGGTCCGCTCTTCTGGCATATCAAATTTTTCTATCTCTGGATGTAGGTGATTGCGATGAAAGACAAGAAGCTCGAAGACGCCCTGTCGCTTCGGTCGACGCACGGACCGCACCAGATGCAGCGCGAAATGGCCGCAAAGGAGCGCACGCACCACCACTTGCTCGGGAAACTGCGTGAAAAACTGCAGCAAGCAACAACGACGATCGCGGCGTATGAAGACACGCTCAACTCGCTTCGTTCGAGCGTCAAGCACACGCACGTCATGGAGTTGAACGAGCGCCTCGCGCAATACGAGATGGAGCTCGACCTCGCCACGTCGCGCTTGGAAGCCCAAGACAAAACGCTCGACCATTATCGCAAGCAGATGGAAGATAGGTCCGAGACGGCCGCGCAAAAGACCATCAAGCGCCTCCGGACCGTCGTGCTGAGCTTGAACGACGAGAAGAAGCGCCTCGAGCACGAGAACCGCGTGCTCAAAGAGTGTTTGTCGACCGAGCGATCGCAGCGCCGGTCGCCCAAGAAACCAAAGCCGCCACCGAAAGCCATCGTGGCGGACGTGCCGACGTCGCCCTCGAAAGAGCGCTGGGCGAGCCAATCGCTTCGCCGTGAAATCGACGGCAAACTTGCATCCAAGCGGCCACCGAGCGCCGGTGCGGGGCGCCGGCTCGTGGCCACGATGGCCGGTGGCGCCATCGTGCAACGAAAACCCAACGTCCGCCCTCGACCGCAATCGGTGCCAGCAACGGCGCCGGTAGCCGCGCCAGATATCGCGGGGACACAGTCAAAAGCGCCGCCAAAAGCAACCGACGATGACGACGACGCGCTGATGGGCGGCGCGGCCGATGAGAGGGTTTTGTTGGACAAAGACGCAAGAACCAAAATGGATGGCATCGAAGGTACACCCGCTACGACGGCGCCACCGATGCCCTTGTCCGAGACGGCCTCCAATGAGCCCGCAGCCACCACTGCACCCGAGATGACAACGGCAGGCGTCGACCACCCTGCGGCTAGAACACCAGCACAAGTCACCAAGCCGACATCAAGTCCAGTCAAAACGTCGCCTACTGATGCAGAAAACACACCCAACCGTACCACAGGCGCCAACCTAGCGACTCGAATGGATCCGGTAGCTGCGTCGGACGAACCGCTTCCGCCACTGACCGCTGTCCAGCCGCCCGTGAATATTGCGCCACCTGCGCTGAACGAGCAGCCGGTGTTAACGATGGACGAGGGCCTACTTTCAGACTCGGACGACGCCGCCGAGTCAGAGGGCGGTGACGACATCGAGACCACCGATGTGCCGACGGGCGAGAGCGCACCCAATGGCGACCGCGACGAAGAGAATGAAGGGTACATTGAGCGGGTTCTCAGTGGCCGGGGTAGTGTCGTCGTCTCGGCGGCCCCCGACGACGACGACGATGATGACACGGACTTTAATGCTCTGATTACTTTCGACACGACGCCTCGAGGTGATACGACAGCGTCACCAGCAAAGGTCCACCACCACGAAGACGAGACAGACAGCCACGGGTCCCTCGAGCACGTTCAAACGGCGCTCGATTCGGCCCGACGACTCTCCAAGAACGAAGGCTCGTTCAAGCGCAAGGACTCGCTCGAGTTCTTTGACGTACCTGACGTACTCAGTGCCCGTCGACGGACGAGTCCAAACGTCGATGCGCCGCCGCAGACATTGCATTTACACCGACGATCCGTGCCGGTGCACCCGGTGTTTCCGGTTGTCGCCGACGGACAAACCGACGCCGACACCGCGACCGAGGTAGCCGACGCCAACACCGCAGCCGAGGAAGCAGATGCAGCTGAGGCAAGTCTCCTACGCGTCGAATCGGGTGACATTGGAGGTGATGCATCGCGGCCCGTGACGGCGTCCCCCGTCGAGTCCAACGCAGGGACGGCCTACAGCGACGACACGTTCGACTCGGCGCCGGACCCGACGCTCGGTTCGGACGCCGCGGCACTGCGCATTCAGTGGTCATTCCGACGTCACAAACGCAAGAAGCACAAAAAGGCCGATGGGAATCCACCGCCCTCCGACCTCAGCAGCCACCATCGAGATGCAGACAATACCACCGAGATGCTGGCTATCACCATGGAGACGAACACTGGAAACAGTGTCGACGAGAGCGCCAACGGTACGCACAGCGCTATCAACAGCGAGCCTGCCAAGCCACCACCAAGCCGCGAGGCATTGACGGCCGGTCCTTCCGACGCCGCATCGACCGAGGATGCAGGCGTCGCTTCAAACCCGACACCAGACGACGCAGCAACGTGTATTCAAGCCCACGTCCGTCGGTATCTCGGGCGCCAAGCGTCGCGCCTGATGTCGGACGCCGAGACACACGAACAGGACGCCGAGGCGACGTCGATACCGGTGCAAGAACCAAGTCGTCCGAGAAGTCCGGTGGTGGACAGCACGCAAGTAGCTGTAAAAGAGCATGACGCTGCGGCGCAGATACAGACAAGCTTCCGCAAGCACGTTCAGCGTCAAGCAACGTTTCGAACCACCCATTCCGCTGCGATCACGATCCAGCGCCACGCCCGAGGACGTCTCGTGCGGCGTCAACAACACGCGCGCTCCAACTCGACCGCTGCTGCAAGCACAATCCAAGCACGCTACCGGCAGTACTCGTTGCGAAAATACCTTCTCTCGACGGCGGACGACCTCACGGAGCCGCCTCCTGGCGTCGACACGATCCCAACTTCAAACGCCAACATCGCGGCCGTCGTGTGCGAGCCGTCAGTGTCAGTCGTGCGACAGAACGACGACGATAATACGGACACTGTGCAATCAGCGAGCGAGTCGATACCGCTGCCAAGTGCGGAAGCAGACCCAAACTCGGTGCTAGCCACGACGGACGACGTCTCAGCACCACTGCTGGTGCCGGATACCGATGACAACGTTGGTGCAGATGTACTGACGGACCGCAGTGGCGCTGGACCTCGCATGGATCTTCCACTCGACATCGAAGACAAAACAGCGACGACGGAGATGGCAACGACCCTGGAACAACCCGACGACAGCTCCGCATCCGGCGATCCATACACGGCCCGGTACGACGACGGTGAAGGCTTCGACGGCGACGAGACACCTGCAGCGGGCGACGAGCCAACGGCATCTGGCGATGAACCAACAAGTGCTGGCGACGCCCCCGCCGAGCCAGATCCGACGGACGACGCGCCCGAGCCAAAAATGCCCCCCGAGACTGGGCGAGAGCTGGAGAATGACTTGTACGATGCAGCGTTTGACGCAGAGAGCAGCGTTGCGACGCCCAACTCGCACGACGCTGAAGACGCGGCCATGATTGCATCTGTCATGCAAGAAATCGCAGCGGACGACGCGTCCGACGACGGCAGCAGCCCCAACCCGCTCCAGTACGACGACGAGTTTGAAGACGACGACGACGACGCAGCGCTGGACGCCGACGCCGACTACTTGACCGAACACTCAGAATAACGTCTTATTTAACGGCGCGACGATTTCTGCACCGGCGTAAACTCGACGCCGTCGGTCTCGGTTGGGGCCTTGATGGGTTGCTGGGCGAGAATGACGACCGCATCGTCGATCGTGCAGAGGCGTGTGTAGTAGTCGAAGAGCTCGGCCTCACGCCGGGCGACGTTGGCGGGCGACGACATGTTGTCGAGGATGTGCTTGGGCGGGAACGGCGGCAGCGTCGTCGTCGGGTCCACCTGCTTGAGGAGCGAGGCGAGGCGCTGGTGCAGCGCCCGGAGCTGGGAGAAGCGGCCATTGAAGCCAAAGTGAAGCCCGTGGCCACGCATCTCGACGTAGAAGCGGACGGTCTTGGCCGCGGCCTCGACATGGCCCGTCACCGAGAGACCGATCGTCATGTCCAACACACCAATTCCGTGTGATAGGCATGCCCCGATGTCCTTGAAACGAGGGAACCAAAAGTTCAATTTGTCGTTAAAGCGAGGTGATCCTGCTGCACAAAGCTCCATGGGCACAAAACACAAGCGCGCGCGTGCAGCGGCCGCGCCTGTCACAGTAGAATCGCTGGCGCCTGCAAATCCGAGTAGCGATTCTTTGAACCACCTCATGAACGTTATCAGTCCTGCAATGTTGATCATTCCGCGATGCTGCAGCAAGCTGTTGTGGCCTCTGGGCTGACACGTGACAGTATTGGACCCGAGTGCGAAGGTTGAAGCGGCTAGCTCTTCCCGGCGACGGCTCTAACAATAACAACCCGCATCTAAGCGAAATCGGGACGATGCACCACCCTCACCGCACAACGGCAAATGAATTGGACGTTGACACCACTGGTGCCCTACAAAGAATCCACCAGGTGCACCGTAGGGCAGCAGAGGTTTCACCGCGGTGTCGTTTCCGGCTGAAGGCCGGTAGCAGTCCGCTGGGCACCGCAACGAAGCGGAGGTCGCGTCCGTCGCACGCGTCCATCACACATTCGCCATGTGCATGTTTGCAGGACAAGTACAGCAGCTCGGCTTGGTTGCTTTTAATAGGCCGCAGAGACGCCGCGATGTTGTTGTGACGCTGTTACGACGTTGTCGCGACACTATCGTAACATTGTCACGACGTTGTTACGACGCTGTTACGACGCTGTTGTAACATTGTTGTGACGTTGTCGCGACCTTGTCGTGATGAAGTTTGGCGGCGTTACCAAGCGCCTGGACAAGGCATGAAAATGACATATACGTACTCCTCACGAATGACCCCAGTGTGGCCAAGAGGCAGCTCCTCCAGCACATTGCGACCGTGAGCCCGAGAGACACCTACACGACGGGCAAGGGCAGTTGTGGCGTCGGTCTCATGGCCGCGGTCGTGCGCGACCAGATCACCAAGGAGATGACGCTCAATTGCGGCGCGCTTGTGCTGGCCGACATGGGCATTTGCAGCATCGACGAGTTTGATGAGATCACACCCTGCCCCAAGAAAACCCGAGGTTTGGGGCAGGGTACGTTGAACTTCAATGCACATGATCCCGTCCACCGACGAGTCCAAACTACGTCACACGTAGTATAGACAGGCAGTGACGCTTGCTAATATGACTTGCGAGGTCACCTCCCATGGTAACCCGAGCCCAGTACTAACACCAAAGATAGACTAGATACGTATATGTGTGTCATTAGTGCGTCGTGGCGTACGCCTTGTTGAGTGCGCCGGCAATGACGAGGTGCTGGATCTCGGACGTGCCTTCGTAGATTTCGGTGATGCGCGCATCGCGGTAGTGGCGCTCGGCCGGCATGTCGGTGACGTAGCCCATGCCGCCGAGGATCTGGATCGCCTGGTGCGCGTTCTCCGTTGCGACTTCCGACGCCTTGAGCTTGGCCATTGCCGCCTCCTTGGTAAAGTTGCGGCCCGCGTCCTTGGCGATGGCGGCGCGCCACGTGAGAAGGCGCGCGGCGTCGAGCTCGGTCGCCATCTTGGAGAGCTTGGTCTGGATGATCGGGTTCTTGGCGAGCGGCGTGCCAAACGCGAGGCGCTGGTGCGCGTACGCGATCGCGCAGTCGAGCGACGCCTGCGCAATGCCGAGCGCCTGCGACGCGATACCGATGCGGCCGCCGTCGAGCGTCGTCATGGCGATCTTGAAGCCCTCGCCCTCCTTGCCGAGGAGCGCGCTGTGCGGCACTTCGACGTTTTCGAGGATGAGCTGCGCCGTCGACGACGCACGGATACCGAGCTTGTCTTCCTTCTTCCCGAGCTGGATCTGGCTCATGGGCACGATGAACGCAGAGATGCCCTTGTGCGCCTTGGCCTTGTCGGTCGTCGCAAAGATGATGGCGTTGTCGGCCTCGTGCGCGTTCGTGATCCACATCTTGGTGCCGTTCAGAACGTAGCCCGTGTCCGTCTTGCGCGCGGTCGTCGACGCCGCGCCAGCGTCCGACCCGTTCCCGGGCTCCGAGAGGCCAAAGCAGCCGAGCTTTTCGCCGGCGGCGAACGGCGTCAAATGCTCTTCCTTCTGCGCCGGCGTGCCGTACTTGTCGATCGGCGCCGCATACAGCGAGTTGTTGACCGACATGATGACGCCGGCCGACGCGCACCCGCGGCTAATCTCCTCGAGCGCGATCGAGTACGCGAGGTAGTCCATGCCGGCGCCGCCGTACTCGCCCGGCACGATGATGCCCATGAGGCCCATTTCGCCCATGGCCTTGATGGCGTCACCCGGGTACAAGTGCTCGCGGTCCCAGAGACCCGCGTTCGGCGCAAGCTCCTTGTCCGCAAAGAGGCGGCACGTGTCACGGAGCATCGTGTGGTCTTCCGAGAGGTCCTCAAAGCAGAGCGCGCTCATGGAGCGGCGGGCCGAGCCGGCGGCAGCTCTACACGCCCATGGTCAGGCGCATGCGCATGGCGAGGAGGAGGATCGACGTACTGGCGAAGGATCGGCGACGCGCGGGCGAGGGACGAGAGCATCTTGCGGTCGGGAGCGCGTGGCCAAAATGCAAAATACGCCAAGATTGGCGAATCCGCAGCCACGCGATGTGATTGGCTGAAATGTTGAACTTGCACCGCGAGCGTCGACTCAACGCTGTTGAGTCAACAGACGCTGGCCGTGATGCCAATGCCGGCTTCTCGAAGCTCTGCCAGGCGCACAGATGGCTCGTTGCAAGCGCATCTTCCGACGTAGCAGGTCTGCCAGGCTCCAGCCTAATGCGACGAGGAGGCTGCCACCGTCACCGCTCGGCTTCACCCGGCTTCGGCTACGTTGGGCCCATGGCCCAAGCATCCCGCTTGGTCGCTTTCATGCAACGACGCCACTTGGTAGTGCTATCATTGGACGTTGCTGTAGCGTCATCCATGCCACCAAGGTGGGCGATATGCGGCCAAGAGATCGTCGGATCGATCCTGCCACAGGATGCCCTTTTATACGTTGCGACGGACACGACGCGTCCTATCCTGCTCGACACGAGACGTGCGGCAGCCAGCGCTCTTACGGACCGTGTCCACTCTAGTAGCCTCGCCCAGGCTTCTGCGTCGTCGTGGCATAGGTCACGCAAGGTCGCCATGTCAACTGCATTTGGCTGTCTATCTCTGTTTGGCCAAGAAGGCGTGGAGCACTGCATCAATGTCGTCGATCGAGTCTTCCAGGCCTTCGAAAGCACTTGGATGACTCTTCTTCTTGGTTTCATTGGCATAGTACGAGTCTTGCGGCTCTGCAAGCGGCCGACCGACATAGGGCACGAAGCAGCTCTCAACCTAAGGTCCAAACTTGGTGGAGCTAGCAGCTGAAAAATGTTACCTGAAGAGAGGCGCCGCGGGGCGTGGCTCGATCGCCGCTGACGACGGACACGAACGAGCTGCTGCTTTCGAGCTGGTTGGACCTACGCGAAAGGTACCACACACTGCAGCCCGTGTCCACGGCGAGAGCACGTACGGCGCATCGAGACTAGGCGTAGGTGGACGAGACGTTGCTGGCGCGAGGGTTCCAAAGCCAAACACCCGTCGTTCTTCTTTGGCAAGTGGCGAGTCGAGCAGTAAATTGTTGTTGTTTTTGTTACTGCTGCTGCTCATGCGATGACTGCTTCGTGGCCGAGGCAGCTAGGCACGTCGATAACCACGGCACACGAGACCGTAGAAACAACGTACCACATTGAGCGCCTTGGGCGGGTCCATTTGCAGCATGAAATTCGGTTTTTGGTACATTTCCTGTGCTACTATAGACCTCTTGTCGCACGTATCGAGACGTACCTTGGAGACTTGAAGTTTTTGTTTTCGAGCCTCTTCGATCTACATCAATCATGGTTTAGTAATTGAAGTCGGGACACAGCGTGCTGCACCTCGTGGCGGAGCCGCTGCACCGCGTCGATTTCCTGAGAAGGACCACCGGTACTATTGCGCGACGGAAAGATGGACGCCGCAGCTGGTAGCGCGGATCCAAAGACAGACGGTAGCGTAAAGCTGGGTCGGTACGCCGGACTCGCCTGCATCTATAGCAGGTGTGTGAGCTCAGCAATCGTGTTCGTGCTCTCGCACCGGCGACGGCTGTTCGGGATACATGGGTCGAGGGGGGGACGGTGCATGCATCACTATCGAGTAAAATATGTTGAGCATGTGGCCTTGATTTGGCGCTATAACGTACCTGGTTGACTTGGCGCTGGCACGGGTCCCGGCGCATTCCTACAGCGATGTTTAGACGGTATGTATCGTCCATAGTCCAAAGGACATTGTGTGCTGCGTTTGTTGTCTCTTTTCAGGGGACAGTGCACGGCGGGGCGGGTCGTTGGGAGGTGGCGGCGCACTGTTCTTTGCACTGGGCTTGCCGCTGTGCATGCGGTCCTACGCCATAAATGTCAGAGAAGAAAGGTCAGAGCGAAGGCACCATTTCTTCACGTTCTCGGCGCTGCTCCTCTTGCTTTTGGTGTTTAAGCTGCTCCTTCTTTTCGTTTTGCTCGCGAATCTACCGTCGCATTCGACGACTACTTTGTACGATTGGGGTGTACCTGCACTTGGAGCATCGCTGCATAGTCGAGCTTGAGGTTGTGCTTCTCGCTCACCTCGTCCAGCGTTTCCCCCGTAAACATGTTGCGACGACGCGACGCCCTACGAGAAACTTGGTCAAATGATGCGTCGTTCGCGCCGCAGCCCCCACATGATGATGGCGTCCAGGTGAAAACGGTTTTTGTTGAAAACGAAATGACGGAACGCCCGTCACAAAATACGACTTTTGGCGCACCACGCACACCCAGCGTCTCGAGAGGAGCTCCTTCTGAAGATGGTTTGGCGCCCATTCATCGCAAACGAAATGAACCAGCTCACCGAACGCCTATCTGTCGAACGTGGCGTTCGTATGGGTTCGGTCGCAGCTGGCGGTCCAAGTTGATGACAGGCGGCTGCATCATGCTATCTTAAACCACTTTGGTTGCACAAAGCTAACGGCCACGAAAGCACTCGTATACCCTGGGTTTTATCTCTTGCGCAAGAATCCCACTCAAACGCGAGCCATTTTCGTTAAATAGCACTTCTTCAAGCGCCCTGGCTGGCTTGCAGGTGTGGCCAGCCAGCAGAATAGGGTAAAACCGCAGCTCGATGCATTCATCGACCCTCCAAGTCGATGCTGTCGCGCCTGGGCGACGAAATCACCAAGGGAAATATCATTTTTGCTGGCCCTTGCATCACTTTGTTTGCCGTGACGGGTTCTAGCACTATCGTAGGAACCAGCTTGGGGCGACATCTGTCTTGGGTCAGCGCTTGCGGTTGACTCCCACTGCTTGATCGCTGAGCGTCAGCACCAGCAGCGACATGAAAAAGGCGCCAACACCACGATATCGAAGTTCGAAGTTATAATCCGAAGTTCGCACATCAAAGCCGGACCAAACCCGGAGTGCGTCGTATATTTCTGTCGCGTCTTGCACCGCTCACTTGGTCTTTTTCTGGATGGGAATCAGTCCAGGGGCGGAGATGAGCAGCACGGCCACGTCCCCGTCCGCGAAGGAGAAGGAGCGCATCAGCCAGGCTGCGCATGACGAGTGCATGCACGTGCTCTCGTCGCTCCTCCAGCACGAGGCGCTGCGCAAGGCGACGCTCTCATCGGCGGCCAAGACGGCGCTGCTCGAAGGCGCGTTCGCCGACATCCAGCACGCCCCGTCCGAGCTGCGTTCGAAGCTGCTCAAGAAGAGCATGGGCCTCGAGAAGGTGCAGTCACTCCTTGGCACGAAGCCGTCGCGCTGCCGCTTCAAGACGTGCGAGAAATTCGCCAAAGACGTCCGCGTCGTCTTCCACAACGTGCTCGCGCTGCAAAACTACTGGAAAGACCAGCAGTCGCCGTCGTACGATGCGATTCTGTACCATACGACGCAAAAGCTGCTGCAGGTATGATCATCTCGAGTGTAAGAACGCGTTGCATCATGCCCCGCGTCGCCAGGACTTTGAGCGCCTTTTCAACGAACGGCTCTCGCCCCATATTGCGCGGGCGCCGTCGTCGTCGCCCGAGCCAACGCCGCCTTCCGCACCAACGCCCGCACCTGTTGCCGCTCCGTCGCCGCCACCTGCGACCGCGGCGCGCCTCGACGACGACGACGTGGCCAAGTGCCAGGCGATCGTCCAGAAAATCATGAAGTACAAGGACGGCGGCATGTCGCTCGCCACGCCGTTCTTCAACCCGGTCGACTTGACGCTGTACGTCGACTACAAGATCAAGGTGCCCCATCGCATGCACCTCTTTGGCGTCCAGCAAAAGCTCAGCACCGGCTCGTACGCGTCGCTTGTGGCCTTTGCCTACGACATGCGCCTCATCTTCTCCAACTGCCTCGTGTACAACGCCGATGTGATCTTGAGCGGCCCGATCCGCGACCACGCTGTGAAGCTCCTCCAGGCTTTCGAGTCGCTCATGCTGCAGTCGTTTGGCCAGTCGCGGAATACGTGGCCCGGACTCGCCGACGTCGACCGGTGGAAGTGCCACCAGATCCTCCACGACATCCTCGCGCATCGCACCAAGCAAGGCCTCGAGTCGGCGCAGTGGTTTAAGTACCCGATTCACGTACGCCTTCCCCGATAGCAAAAGTAGAAACTTTATATTTCTCTACCCTAGACCTATTTCGAGTCGGAAGACCAAATCCCGTTCGAGTATTTCAAGATTGTGAAAAAGCCCATGGACATTGGCACTGTCTCGGTACGTTGCTGTTGTCCGTGTCCGTCATGGCATCTGACGTCCTATGACAGGCGCGTCTGCATTTGGGCGAGTACAAGGAGCTCGCGCCGTTCGTCTCGGACCTCCGCCGTGTCTTTGAGAACTGCATCAAGTACTGGAAAAACAACCCGGACGGGAAGCAGTACTACAGCGACGGCAAGACGCTCCTCAGTCTCTTCAAGAGCAAGGTCACGGCCGCGTTTGGGCCCGCGCTGCTCGAAGACCGCAAGAGCAGCAAGCACCACCACAGTCACAGCCACGAAGCATCGGCACCGCCAGCCGTCCCATCGTCTTCGGTACGCACATCTCACGTTCATGGAGATGTAGTCCGCTCATCGACGGAATGTAGAAGCCGGCCGCGTCGTCGTCGTCGGCATCGGGCGACAGCAAAGGCCGCCGGGCGTTTCAGGAGAAGGACACGTGCCTCAACATCCTGCAGCTCATCCGGAAACACACGATGCGCGGGCTCATGGGCGAGATCCTCACGGCGGGCCCGTTCCTTGTCGCTGTCGACGTCACCAAGTACCCCGACTACCTCGCGATCGTGCCCGAGCCAATGGACTTTGCAAAAATCGAGGTACGGCTTTGTTCAGTGACATCACTCGACACAACGAACGATATGAACTTAGCGCAAGCTCAAGAGCAACCGGTACAGCCACGTGTCCGAGTTTGCAGCCGACGTGCACTTGATCTTCTCCAACTGCATGAAGTACAACAGCGATCCGGTCGAAGGCGCCGACATTCGGACCATGGCCAACAGTCTGCGCGACTACTTTGTGTCGCTTTATGCTGCCATGGTACCCAAGTCTCCACACTTCCTCTCGATCTCATATGTACGTCGATAGGAGCGCGGCGAGCCGCTGGTTGCGGCCACAGTCTCCTCAAGCTTCCCGCCACCACCGACGGCGACGACCAGTGCCAAGCCGCGCAGCACCAAGCCAATGGCGGACGACGTGACGCCCGTGACGTTAGCGTCAACCGCGCTCGAGAGCCACAGTGACAGTGGTGAGAAGAAGAAGAAGAAGGACAAGAAGGACAAGAAGGAAAAGAAGAAGAAAAAGGACAAAAAGGACAAAAAGAAGGACAAGAAGGACAAACCGCGGTCCGAGGCATCGAGCAGCAGTGCGCCGCCGCCGGTCGTCGCGGTCACGGTCGCGGCCCCGATCCCGGTTGTCGTACCCGAGAAGGCGTCTCGGAAAGGCGGGTCGTCGGCCTCGAAAGCCTCGTCGTCGTCGTCCAAGTCCAAGGTCAAGCTCGACTTGTCGCCGTGGGAAACGTCGTGCGAGCGCATCTTGTCGCGATTGAGCAAGATTGAGAGCGTGCACTTGATGCACTTTGACGTGCCGTTGCTGCGCATCTTCCCGGACCTCGCGGCGTCCTACGAGCGCGTGGTCACTGAGCCCATGGATCTGGGGACGATGCGGCAGCGGCTCCTCGCGCACCAGCTGCCGTCGGCGGCCGAGTTTGTCCGGCTCGGGCACCTCGTGTTTGCGAACGCCGAGGCGTTCAACGTCGGGAGTGACTCGTCGTCGATCCGTGTGCGGGAAATGGCGGCGCACTTGCGCTGGTTCTTTGACTCGATGTGCATGGAGCACAAGCTCCTCGACGCCGAGTTGCGTCTTGAGCGCCGCAACGAGCGGTTTCTGGGCGTCCAGACGCTGCGCTTCACCGAGAGCAAGCCCAACAAAGAGTGCTCGAAAGTGCTCCGCGTCCTTTTGAGTCAAAAGTACCAGAAGTACGCATGGCCGTTTGTCGAGCCGGTCGAGAAGCTCTTCCCGGGTCTGCCGCCAAAGTACTTTGAGATCATCACCAAGCCGATGGACCTCAAGACCGTCTCGGAGAAGCTGACGTCGCTCACGTACAAGACGTATGGCGAGTTTATCGCTGACATTCGCCTCACATTTGAGAACGCACTGCTGTACAACATTGCCGAGAAGGGCAAGGAAGGACCGACGGTCTACTCGGCCGGCGAGAAGATGCTGCACGTGGCCATGGACCAGTGGGGCGACGTGACGATCGACATTATCGAGCGGTCGAAGCGCAGCGTACTCTTGCACAAGGAAGCGCAGCTGCTTGCGGCGCAGAACCGCGCGGCCAACGAAGCCGCCGAGGCCGCGGCGGAAGCCGACCGTCTCCGCACGTACCAGGCCAAGCTCGAGCAGCAAAAGATCGACGAAGCGGCGCAGGAAGAGCGGTCCGAGCACGAGCGGTCACTGCAGGCCAGCGTCGCGGCCAAAGCTGCGAAGGAGGCCCGCGCATCCCTTCTGAGCATGGAGAAGATGACGAAAAGCGAGCGCAAGATTGAAGAGAAGAAGCGCAAGAAGGCCAAGAAGGACGAAGAGGCCGCGCGGTCTGAGAAGCGTCGGCGCACCGCGACGCTTGCGACCGAAGAGGCGCTGCGCGAGGCCGAGCACCGCAGCCGGCTCCGACAAAAGGCCAAAGACCTCCTCGACGAAGCCCGCGCCAAGCAGGAGGCGCTCCGCCACGAACACCTCAAGTTTGCCAAGCCAAAGCGCAAGGCGCCCGAGTGCGCCAAGGCGTTCTGGAAGGTCAAGCGACGCATGCTCGTGGTCGCGCCGTGCTTTAGCGCTGCGTAAGGGTAGCGCCTTGTATCTGTGAAGCCACATTGATGCCACACAAAACCACCAAGTAGTAATATGAAGATGTAGTACATAGTGTGCATTGTTGGTCTTTGGTCAAGGGCTAGGTGCAACTGAGTATAAACTTTCACAGGCTTTAGACGCGCGGCCTGTCAGACTTGATACTCGCCATCTTCGCTTCGTGTCGGCAAACCACGCGCCGGCAACGATGATGGACGCCCTGCCCATGCATGCGACCCACGCCCGCGAGTCGACGTCGACGCCGTCTGCGAAGCGCGGCTCGGCCTTCCCGACGCGACCGGCCCGCGGCGCCAGCGGTACGTTGCCGCTCTTCCGCAACTGCTCGTCGGCTGTGCCCGAGTACTTTGCCCGCATGGTCGACTACCGCCAAATGGACCTCGAGGCGACGTACTACCAAATGGTGACGCTGTGCATTGCGCCCTCCAAGGTCTACAAGAGCGCGTACTACCGCAAGCAGACCAAGAACCGCTGGGCGCGCGACGACCCAGCGTTCGCTGTCATCCAAGTCTCTCCTTTGCTTCGTAGGCTCTGGCTGACACTGCGCGTAGGTGCTCTTTCTGTTTGTCGCGTCGCTGGCGTGGACCGTGGCCTTTGAGAAGACGTCGTCGCTCGGGTTCCTCCTCATCTGCGATGTCATTGTCGAGTGGCTCGTCCTCGGCGTGCTTCTCTCGACGGCCAGCTGGTGGGTCGCCAACACCTTCCTGCGCCTCTCGCCGCCGGGCATTGCAAGCGACACGTTCTTCGTCGAGCAGTCGGTCGAGTGGCAGTACGCCTTTGACATCCACTGCAACGGGTTCTTCGTGCTCTTCCTCCTCGTCCACGTCGTGCAGGTGCGACGCCACTTCGATCCCCGGACGTCGCCAACATTTTTTGTATTTTCTAGTTTTTGCTCGTCCCGCTTCTCGTGGCAGATACCTTTGTGTCGCTTCTGATGGCCAACACGCTGTACGCGCTGGCGTGCGGCAGCTACTTCTACATCACGTTCCTCGGCTACATGGGTACTCTCTACCGTGAGGTTGACGCTCATGTTGCGTGCGTTTAGCGCTCCCGTTCCTCCACAACACGGAGCGATTCCTGTACCCGGTCGTCGCCGTCGGCGGCTTGTACGTCGCCAGTCTCGTGCTCTCGATCGTCCTTGGCGTCAACTTCAACTGCGCCGCCATGTCCGCAGCCTACTATTATTCAGCCTAAGACCCGAAGACGACTCAACCATGTACATACAATGTGTGCTGCGAGTATGGTGAGGTCAGGTCGATGCAGTGTCGACGATCGCTGCTGTCGAAAGTGAAAAGATTGTTTGGCGGCCAAGGGCGCCCACAAGACAAGAGTTTGGGCGGTGGAGTCGCTGCAGTAAACCAAGGTTGTCATAGTAATATCATTGACACGAGGTGACGGCGAGGCATGAACTATGGTCCTGGGGTGGGCAAGATGGAAATGCTGGGTTCTTTTAGCCACGGCTATATTGAAACAAGCCTTGGCACCTTTCTGGACGCGCCAGAAAACTGTGCTGGACGTTTCTCAGTCTATACCCACGCAGATTTCATGTCTGAAATCAACCTTCTTCATCCTGCGGGAGGCGGAAAATGGCGTGGCTGTAGACTACGTAGCTTGGATTGCGTATCTTGCGATGGACGACGACGAGAGCCGAGAGGTGTTGGAGCTTTTGCAGAGGAAGGACCGCGAGATCCACGCGCTCACCGACGCCAAGGCGCGCCTCGAGGAGAAGGTCGACGCCATGCGCTGGGACCTCGAGCTCGCGCAGGGCGGCTTGGACTACAGCGCGGCCTTCAACACGCAGCTGCTCGCGTTTGAGGCGCAGCTTCAGGATCTGCGCACCAAGACGGACCTGGCGCTGCAGCCACGCCAGATCGCACCAGACACGCGGCAAGCCATGGCGCTCGAGCAGCGGCTGCAGCGAGGCGAGACCACGGACTCGCTCTTGCACCAGCGCCTCCACAGCATGTTCCAAGCCAACTGCGAGCTCATCCAGCGCTTCTCGCGGCCGTCTTGCCGTGAGGTATGACCACCGCCTTGTGCTCCTTTTACGACCACCACGCTCGCTCATGGTGCGTAGGTCGCCGTGCAAACAGCCGGCCACCAACGCGATCGCTTTGTTGCGACGGAGGCTACGTGCTGCGACTGCGCGACGCAGCTGCAGCAAGCGACCGACGAGTTGCGGGGTCTCCGCGCCGCTGCGCTTCTTTCGCAGCTCGCTGCACCTGGCGCGCGCAAGGCGCGTTCCTCGTACGTGCACCCTGCACCAGACGATCTATTGACAGTATCACTGCGCTGTGACGATGCCACGTCACGCCCAACGGCCGAAGTTGAGGCCGAGCTCGACCGACTTCGAGAGTCGGTCGCGCGCTACACCACAGAGCTAAAAACGCGCACCGAGGAGCTGCAGAACGTCCGCGCCGATGTCATCATAGTGCGTCCTCCTTTGCGATCAACAAGTTACCGTCATGATCTAGGCAGCCAAGCTTCACCAACACCGTGAGAATGCGCTACGCATGACGCTGGCGGACGTGGAAGCGCAGCTTGTCGCATCGCGTGCGCAGTGCGAGGACGCCGAGCGTGCCAAGCTCGAGATCATTCACCAAGCGACGCAGCTCGTCCAGGCGGCCGAGGCCGAGACCGGCACGGCGCTCAACAGCCTCGATGCGTTCAACCAGATGCAACTGCGCCCGTGGATCGACGTGGCACATGGCGACCGGACCGCCAAGTACACACTGCAGACTACGCTGGCGGCCGCCAACGACAAGATTGTCGAGCTACAAGCCGACGTGGCGCTCGAGATGGCAGCGGCGCGGGAGCTGCGGGCGGATGCAGAGGTGTATGCAACGCAAGCGGTCGAGTGGAGTGCGCTGAGCGACGCGTACGAGCACGTCCAAGCCGAGCTCCAGGCGCGCGTCCGAAGCCTCTCGACTGCGCTCGCCCAGGCCCTGTCCTCGCGCGACGCGTCCGTCGACTGGGCAGCCTTGGTCCCACAGTTGCTGGCGCAGCCGTCGCCCGCGCCGCAGTGTACGAGGCGACCGCCATTCGAATGCTTTCATAAACTTCGCAAGGTTAGATCCCCCCAAGGAGGTGCTGGGACCCGACAGGGCGCACGTCTGCTCGTGGCAGCGCCAAGCGGCGACATGGCGTCAAACGCTGCACAGTAGAGAGCTGGCCCTACAGGCGCTGCAGGTACCTTCCAATGTGCCGCCACCACCACGATAAGGTGGCCATGTAGGACCAGCTGCATCAACAGGCGGCCAACAGCAGTGCGCTCGACGCCAGCAAAGCAGCCAACAGCGCCTTGCGCAAGAAGGCAGCGACGGCCAAAGCCGAGGTCGAGACGCTCAAGGCGGCCGCCGAGACGGCCAAGTCCAAGACGACAGCGCTGCAGCGAGAAAAGGCCGAGCTGAATCATATGGTCTCACGGCTGCGGGAAGAGAATGCCAAGCTTCGCGACAGCGCGCAGCGCAAGTCGGAGCTCGTCACGTTCTACAAAAGCGCAGCGGAAAAGGCAAAGCATCAACACGACGTCGCCCGCCCACCCCCGGCCTCGAACCAGGCGCCAACGGCCGCCAAAACCGCGCTCATCAAGCACGTACGACGTGTCTTGTTGAATCGAGTAGTGCACCGGTTGTATGGTAGCTTCAAGAGCAGCTTGCGGTGCGCACGAAGGACGCCGCCGCCACCAACGACGTACTGCAAAAGGCGCAAGCCCACAACCACGTTCTTTCGAGTCGGTGCGGACGCCTCCAGATGGCGCTACGTGACAAGATGTCGTCACAACACCGACAAGACGAGGACGACGATAAAGACACGGGCGGAGACGACGCGACAAGCGGTATCCAGGCGCAGCTTCGCGAGTGCAAGCGACGCCTGCAGCAGAAGCAGAGCATTCTGGACGGCTTCAAGGCCAAAGACGCGGCGCAGAAGGACATGCTTGCGACGTGCACGAGGCAACTCGACCAGCTGCGCGCGCAGCTGCAGAGCCACTCGACCGGTACAACGCCACCCTCGACGATGTGTAAGTCCGAATGGTGGTAGACGCGGCCAACCTAGCGGCTCTTCTCGCGCAGTTCGACGGACTCCGCGCCAGTGTATATGACGCGGTACATAGCGCGTTCGCCTTCCGATCGAAAAAAGGGGACGACGTCGACGGCGTGTCGGTCTCGGACCTGCGCGCTGTCGGGTGCACCGCCTTGGACGAGACAGAGATTACGCTTTTGCGTAGCGATAACATCCAGCAGCAGGTGCTAAGCGGACTCGAACTCGCGCTCGAAGTGTCGCCAGAGGACTGTCGGCGCGCGCTCCTCGACGCGCTCTTGGAGCTCCGCCATGCTGGATCGGCCGGTAAATTTTGAGGGTTGAGAGGCCTCTGCCCTAATCTCTACCATTCACTGCAATACGATTGGTTAAAATGTGCCAATCATCGTGCCGTTTCACGTTTCCCGCGGTGTGATTGGCTGCATTGGACTTGAAGGTCGGTTGCGGTTGATGACCATCTTGGCGCTGGGACGATGGTGGCCAGCTGGCGCTCGTGTCCCGTAGCGCCTGCTGCTATCGGGATTTCATTTCTCGTCTGGTGAAAGTGATGCAGCGCCGCGAAGAGCCCACGACGACGACGATGACCGAGGTACGACGGCCTTGACGCCAGCAGCTAACTCACTGCACGCGCCATAGCCTGTGACGCCGTCTGGTCTCTTCTCCAAGCTGCCGTCGGCTTTCTGGGCGCGCAAACTCAAGGCCGACGATAATGGCAAGGGTTCTATGGGTGACGACATGCCACTCTCGCCCGCCAGTACGTTCCTCGACCACTCACAAAGCCACCAAGGATGACATTATTGTCTACTGTAGTGAGCACGACGTCCGAGTCGTCGTCGGCGGCGTCGTTCGACTCGACCGCTGCGACCCGCGTCCACGCCATGGACGACTTTGCCGCCTTGGTGATGGACAACAACCATTTGGACCCGATGGCGGCGGCGGATCTCGAGACGATCGCTCGGCTCGCCAAGCAAAACGAGTTCTTAACGCAGCTGCTGCGCAAGGTGACGGCCAAGGTGTCGTCGAATCGCCACGACATGACGGTGCAGCACCACCGCATCCAGGACCTCGAGCGCGCGCTCGCCATTGCGACGCAAGCGCCGCCGACGCACGAGATCTCGTGCCAAACGGACCTGGACATGGAGAGCTTGGACCAGCTCAACGCGAACCGGGAAGCCAACGAAGCCATGGCGTGGCAGCTCAAGATCGCCAACGCCAAGGTCACGTCGCTCAGCAAGTGTCTGCAGACCGAGCGCGCCGACCACGACGCCAAGATGGCCGACCAAGCGCGCATCATCTTCCAGCTCGAGCAGCAGCTCAACCAGTTTGCCAGCGCGCCCATGCCGCCACCGTCGTCCAAGGCGATCGTGCTTCACACAAACGCTCGCAGTAATCACGCGAGTGTGGCAGTCATCCCCGCCGACAGCGTCGGGTACATCCAGGAACTCCACAGCATTCTGGCCACGTTCCTGCGGCAAACCATCGGCGTCGACATCATGTCCTTCTCGACCAAAGCCGGGCTCATGGACCTCGGCATGCTCAAGGCCCACCTCAAGTCGACGACCTTTGCCTCGCGGCAGTCGACGCCGCCGCCGCCGCCGAGCCAGAAGCACCTTGTCGAGCTCGATAGCATTCAGGACCGCGTCCTTGCGCGCATGGAGGCCGCGCGGGTCTTCCTCGCCACGTTTGCGTCGTCGCCAATGGCGGCCGAAGACAACTACGATCTCTTTGGCGAAGCGTCGGCGTCGTCGACCACGTCCTAAGTCGCGTGTCCCACGGTAGTCTTAATTATTTTCAATTTTTTTCGTCGGTACCTTGGTGTTCAAATATTGTCTTTCGTTATACTAGACCATGTGTCGCGGAGAGACGACGTACGGATGTCCCGACTAGCGTTAAATGATTCGTACATGGCTTTGGGCAGCCGCCATCCTTCTCAGTAGAGCTATGACGCTTGGCACATATAGGCTATTCCTTGCAGGACGAGGTGGGCTGTTCGATGGCCGATCGACTCGAGTAAACCGAAAGTAACCCTACCCCTCGTTGGTCCACGCGACTCTAAATGCACGTACCACGACCATAACTAACATATGAATTCAAAGTGAGTTTACATAGTCTCTTGGTTGTCGACGAGGTCGGCGAATTGCGCTAGCGTTGACGCGCACACGTCACAGAGACGCTGTGGTGCCGTCGCTGGAGTCGCGAGGCACGCCTTGTGCTGGCTGTGGGTCGCACAGACGCTGAGCCCGCAGTTGCGGCAGTGGTGCCGCCGGCGCGCCGGCGTAAACGCTGCAAAACAGAGACCGCACTTGACGTCTTCTAGCCACCGCGGCGGGAGCGACCGACACCGATGCACCGTGGTCGTTGTCGACTTGGTCTCCTCGGGACATGCCGCAACAAGCACGTTCAGAACGTGCTGCCGGCACATTCGCCGTGTCGCGAGCGCCAAGGGCGTGTCGCCGCTCGGCGTGGCGACGGCCGCCGCGTCCGGGAAGACGTTGAGCATCGTGACAATAATGTACGCGGGCACATCGCGGTCGAGACAGGCCCAGTGGAGCAGTGTCAAGCCGCTCCCGTCACAGCGCAGCGGCGACGGCGTCGGCAGCTCGGTGAGCGCGGCGAGCAGCCGCGGCCAGTCGGCGTGGCCGACCAAGTGCAAGAGCGCTGGCAGCTGCATTTGATGCGGTTTATTGCGACAGAAAAAACTATTTTAAACTTATTCCTGAGACATGTGCGCTGCGACGACTAGGTATACACTTGATCTTCCTCGACTTGCGACCGCCACCCGGACGCAAAGCCTTTCGTGCCGTCCGGGCCCTTGGCGGTCCGGGCCGTCGCCTCCTTGAGCTGTCGGCGCAGGCTCGAGTTGACTGTCACCTTGCGATCGGGCGCTGCGCTCTGCATCCCGTGTTTGTGACATCAGATGGCGATCGACAATATTGTACATACCTCGAGGCGGACAATGCTTGTCGCGTGCAGCGCGTCACCAATGTGGTTGGTCGAAAACTCGACCTTGTCCCCGACGCTGAGGAAGCGGCCGCTGCTGCCCAGCACCTGCTTGCTCACAAACGCTGCGGGCGTCTCGTCACCGTCGACTTGGATCGAGCCGGCGCCCGACTCGTCGACGGCCGACACGACGCCCGTCTTGGCGTTGGACGCGACAAGGGCCACCTCGGTCGCGGCCTTGCCCGAGCCCTTGACGACGCAGCGCACGCGGTCGCCAGCACGCAGCACCACATGCTTGTCGACCTGATCTTCCAAGTGAAACGAGAGCAAGAGCGTCGGCGCCTCTTCGTCGTCCGTCGCGGCCGCAACCTCGGCCTCGGGCACGACGCGCAGCTTGCCGGCCGTCGATTTTTTCACATCGCGCGCCTTGGGGCGCAAGCTCACGCGCTCGACGACCGCCTCGTACGCCACGACCTGCTTGGGCGGGAGCGACCCCGGAGGCAGCACGCGGATCTGCGTGGCCTTTGTCTTCTTGTCGGCGGCCGGCTTGAGCACGTACTCGACTTCGTCGCCGACCTTGATCTTGGCCTTCTCGCCGACATCGCGGAAGTGGAAAAATACAGAGTCGGACGACGTCGTCGGCTCGAGAAAGCCGTACTGTCCGTCCGCCTTGATGGCCGTGACCCAGCCCTGCGAGAGCGGCGCGTCCGAGTGCAGCAGCACGAGGTCCTTGGCGAGCACAAGGTGGCCGCCCTTCTTGGTCGCAACGACGTTGCAGCGCACAGTGTCGCCGACGCTCGGCTCGTACCGCACGTCCTTGTGGGCGTCGTTGGCAAACACGACCGTGCGCTCGCACGGCGTCGTGATCGCCCAGTCACTGACGCGGGCCGCGTCACGGGCCTGCGTCAGCGTCGCCGTGTTGCGCTCTTCAGCGTATGCCAGCCCAAAGTAGGCAGCAAACGCTGCGAGCGCAAGGCGTTGCGACGCGTGGAGCTGCTTGAGCGTCACGCTTTGGTCGACGTCACTCACCGACTGGTCAAGGCCAGCAAGCACCGCGGCCTTGAGCTCCGGGTACGCGGCCAACGGGCAGCTCACGGCCGTGTACGAGAGCTTGCCGTACTTGGCTTCTCCTGACGGCTTGTCGCCGCTGTGGTCCTTGAACGCCGGACGACCGGGCACCGCGAGGATGACTGCATTGGCGATGTTGTCGTCGAGCGGCGTCTCCCACTGGATCGTATTTTTTGGCAGCAGCTGGATCCGGGTCGCGCGGATACCGTCCTTCGCCTTGGTGGGCTCGATCACATCGAACGATACTTCAGCGTGCATGCGCAGCGTGAGGTGGTACGTCGACTGCAGCACGTCCGAGAAGCGGAAGTACGCGTCGCCCGGTCGGTCCACGCACCTAAGGACAACTTGTCCATCAAAAATGATGAAAAAATGAAAAAAATACAGACTTGAGGAAGCCAAAGTCGTCCTTCATGGCCGTCACGACGCCGCATTCCCGCCCGATTGGGTTCAGGAGCACGCTGCGGACGTTGACGGCGATCTTCTCGCCGCGGCGGAGGTCGTGCAGCACGTCAAAGAGCACTTCGTCGCCTTCTTTCGGGGTGTAGTTGGCGTCAAACTCCGAGCCGTCGACAGCGTACTCGGCCGGCGTCTCGGCGTCGGTCACAGCGATCTTGCCACGCGCCGAGGGCTTGGCCTTGGCAAACTGCCGAGATGGCTCGGTGGGCTTGACCACGATCTTGCCGTGCACGCTGGACGCCATGATTTCTTCAAAGAGCACCGAGCCTTCCGGCAGCGCCTCGAGCTTGAGCGCAGTCACCTTGGCGTTGCCACGGTCTTCGGCCTGGAGGTGCTCGGGCAAGATGAAGAACGAGACCTCCGTCTTCTCCTTGATGGTAGCGCCCATGCTCTTGTGGTCGTACGCGAAGAAGGCATCTTGGAGGCGCGAGAGGCACTTGATGTAGCCCGATGAGCCTTTGATCGACGAGACGATGCCGGTCTCGCGCTCAAGGTCGACGAGCGCCGCGTCGATGGCCGCCGCCCGCTTCTTGCTCGCCGAGCACGTGACGTGGAGGTCCACTGCGCGCTTCGTGCCGAGCTGCTTGTGCACGGCCACGCGGAACGCCACGTCGTCACCGACACGCGGAATCACCTTCTTGCCGTCGTCGGCCGCGACCGAGTCGAGGTTGAAGCGGACGTAGTGGCGCTTGAGCGGCTTGGGGGCGTCGTCCGTCGCCTCGGTCGCCACCGGCGTGAGCTCGATCGTACCCATGACTTCGGGCGTCGGGCGGTCGCCAAGCCGGCCCTTGGCGTGCTTGGGCGGCAAGGTACCTTTGGTCACGACCCCGGTTTCAACGATGTCGCCAATGTCTTCGGTCACGATCGTGCCCTTGGGCAGCCGCGTCATGTGCGTAGCGCTCTCCTTGCCGTTGCGGCGGTTGATGGTCAACTCAAACGAGAGCTCGTCGCCGACCTACGATGTGCTGCATGAGCGCGCGAGTGGAAGAGATGCATGCGATGTATCGTACCTGGACGTGCGGAAGGGACGCGGCGGCGTCGTCGGTCGCAGGGCGCGAGGGCACCTCGCTCTCGTGGAAGAAGACGTCTTGGTCGAGGTCGAGCGAGTGGAGAAAGCCAAACCCGCCGTCTTCCTTGAGCGTCATGACAATGCCTTCGTAGCGAGGCGCGGCCGGCGCCCGTCGGAACGAGCGGCTGTCGCTGTCTGCGCGGCTGCCGTACCGGTCGCTGCCACGATCAAGGTTGCGGTCGCCGCCACGGTCAAAGCCACGATCGTAGCCACGGTCACCGCCACGGTCGTAGCCGCGGTCACCGCCACGGTCGTAGCCACGATCGCCGCCGTAGCCGCGGTCACCGCCGCGGTCACTGCGGTCGTAGCCCCGGTCGTTGCCACGGTTGTATCCCCGGTCGCTGCTGTTGCGGTCAAAGCCGCGATCGCTTCCACGGTCACTGCCCTGGCGATCAAAGCGCCCGGCCTCTTGGCGCGGCGCGCGGGCGTCTTGTTGCTGGTGCGGCTCGGCTTTTTGCTCTTGCGCCGGCGTCGTCGTCGCCTGCGCGCGCGACGCCCAATAGTTGGTCGCTGCTGCCGGGGCGCGCGTGGCAGGCGCCGGCGTCGTGCGCAGGAGGCCGTCGTCGCCCTCTTCGTCCGATGCGTCGGCCCAATCGCCCTTCTGCGGCTCGCGGAACATGATCTTGCTTCTTGCTCGGCCGATGACCACGTAAAATGCAATGCCAAGCCCCTCGCTCTTTCTTATCCGGATGCAATCCGGACGCGTGTTGAAGTTGCAAGATCGACCGGCCAAGCGCCCAACGTGGCGGTCACAGCTGCGAGCGAGTCGGCCAGTAGCAGCTTCGCCAAGGCAATCAGTAGGCCGCCGAGCGCGCCGCCGTCGACGGTCGCTCGGCCACGAGACAGAAACACGTGCAGCGTCTTGGGCCACCATCTAAAAAGCCGCTTGTTCCGTGCGCCGGTGGAACGAGCAGCAGCACGTCGCTGCGCATAGACGTCGAAGCCCCTTCCCGCTGCTGCGCTCGCGATCACGCGCAAATCCGGCACGCGGCTCGCCGCGCCGTGGAGCCTTCGCTTGCCGCCATGCCCGCCGCGCCGATCCTTGGTGTGCCCGCTACCTCATTCTCCACTCAATCCTGAGCCCCGACCAAGCGCCCTCAGCTTGACGTACCGGCCAAACCTCATGCGTCGCATTAGGAAGTCCACCACCTTCACAATATAATTGCATGTTAACAACTCATATTTCAACAACGTCGCGACAATAATGTTCCAACAACGTCACAACAACGTCGCGACAGTGTCGTAACAGCGGTCGCGACAATAGTATTACAACAACATCGTAACAATGTTACGACAGAACATCGCGACGTCTCCGCGGCCTAATACAAGCAACCAAGCCGAGCTGCTGCACTTGTCCCACTACGGCAACCCGCTCATGTCCTCCCGCGGTGCGGCGATTCTGTGTACCGTGTTGCGTTGAAAGCTGTGGCGGTCCAGTCCAGCTTTCACTTCCTCGGC